TGCCACTGAGCTCATCATGGCTTCTCTTCGTCTTTGTTTCGAGCTGTCGATCATGGTGGAAGGGTTGGGAGAAGGACACCCGATGACCTCCATCGTCTTTCCTTTTGTCCCCCGCATAGCCGCTCGCCTTCTGAGCCGCATAGTTTGATCTTTGATCGGTTGTCCGTCGGGAGGCATACGACGTTGATGATGCTACCATGGCTGACTGAGAACAGTGCTCAGATGCGAAGCAACAGGGTGAGCCTGCGAGCCTGGCTGATCGTTCGATTACGATAGAAAGTTCTGGCAGGTTCATCCCTCGAGACGGCATCCAACCTGCCGTCCAGTGTACCGTGCCCACCCCGCGTGCAACGAGCCGAGACCCGGTCAATCAGAGAATCGATGGATGGCTTCTTGCCACAAATACTGTGCAGTCGGAGATACAGCCCGGTCTGCAGCGATGATTAGAGTTTAAAGGTCGTCGTTTCAATGGGTTGTCCAACACCGACGAGTCTGTGTCAGATTTTCTGGTTGCCAACAGAGTTTTGCTGAACAGCCGCCTTCGGCACTACCGCGGCCAAATCAATCGACATTGCTAATGTCTGGGCTGTGGACATCGCATGAATATGCATTGGCATTGTGCGGGTGTGCAGTGACTTCAGCCTTACGCGAGCCGCTTGGATTATTGGCGACAACACGGATATTTTCTGCCCCGCCGCCATGCTGGATTTTCATTCCAGATGTGCAAGTAGAGATCCTTAGAACGGTCTGTGATACCAGGATAACCACCATGGTGAGGGACTTCGACCATACGGATCTAAGCCAGCCAGTAGCGGTGAAAGCTTTGGTTGCATTGCTCAAGGAGTCGTTCGAGACAGGGGGGCCGGATTGGGACGCGTACAATGTAAGGTAAGCTTTGCTGGGTTGAGTCCTGGATCCAGCGTCTGAGCTATGCGCAACAGACCCTCGGACGAGACGAATGAGACAAGACGTTCTGCTCTCGGAGAAGATCTGTAACCAGGGAATTGGCACATTTGGAGGTTCAGGAGTTTGATGACTTGGCCAGGACATTTGTGCTCCCCCCATGTCGCTAGAAGGGATATTGCTATCACAATATCTTTGTTCGTGCGTGTGCGCGTGCTGTGAATGTGCCAATCAAGATAAAATTAGTGTGAGAGCGACAAGCCAGCCATGGTTTCGAGGAGTGACCATCGCCCTTCGTACAAATCGAGGTCGCACTGCCCTCGCCCACCAAAGCTGCAGACATTCAACAGTGCCTCTTCTAAGCATCTGCTTGGAACGCCCAAACTGGGTTCACAAGAAGCCCCGATGAAGTAAGTATATCGCTGATAAGTTGCTGGCCTCGCAGGGTGCGTAGCGAACCCAGGATGTGCCAGGAGCAGATATGGTAGTGGAAGGGATCACCGGACTGGGCTTGAATCCTCAGCCGCCATAGAGTCTTGCAGATCATTTCCAGCAATGGGGTTTGGTAAATGCCCATGGTGAAGTTTGAATAGCAGGAGCGGTGAATCGTCCAATGTTTCCGATGGGCGTTGCTCATTTCTTCGGCTGATCTGGCCGTAGAGCCACAGCTTGCCTTCCAGAAAGAGATGACACAGCGGTCTTGAGTCAGGAGGTTTTACGGCATAGTTGACCACTCCCGGAGTTCAGAGTCCAGACTTGGGTTCACGAAAACGAGGCCAAGACGCAGACGAGGCGAGACTGAGAGTGGAGGGGTCACAGTAGGTGCGTGTTGCCGTAGAACGGAGGGAGGGTGACCGGTGGACGGCTAAGACGGCTGGGTACGGGTACCTGTAAAGGGCACACTTCCATGCAGCGGGAAGCTCGAGACGCGGTTGATGCCCCCAGGGATGTTGGAGGTTTGCCTACGCTGGCACGCTGCGGAGTATTCTGCTGCGGAGTGGAGTTATTGCCCGCCGGGTATCCGTCTCGGTGCCCTAGCCTGTCCGTACGGGCCTATCTAAGTTTCTGTGAGAATTAATTAGGTCGCCGAAAGTAAGGGTATACTGTGTAGTAATTGCGGGTGGCCAAGAAACAATCAGCCTGGGACGTTTGAGCGGGATTGCAGGAAAGGCCTGTGTAGAGGCTGGACTAGTCTGTAGTGGGTAACGGACGGTGAACCCGTCGCAAGAAGAGATGACGACGATGATGCTCGCGAAGGTCTGGATAAACTCTGATTAGCCTGGAAGATACAGTTGGACATGTTACTTCGGATGCTGCTCGACAGGCAACGTCAAGACGATGAATTGAGGCATAAGACGGCAGGCCACGGGTGTACGTTACGTGGATGAGGGGGGAAAGGACGGGAGGCACCTTAAGCAGCAATGCTGCCGCCGTAGAGAGGCCAGAGCTGTTGGGGAGTAGCTGTGTGACCTGAGTCTATGAGTCTGTAAGGTGCGGTAGGTTCGGTTAGGTTGCATTTGCTCGCGCAGGCGGTGCAGCCATAGGGCCACTGGATTTGACTTTCTCGGTGGGCAGAGGCAGAGCTGCATTCATGACCGGTGAGCAGAGAGGATACCCTTGCCGGAGGTCATGCAGAAACGGGAAACGAAGGCCGTGGACCTGAAGCCCGCGTGGTCCCCCGTGGCACCCCCCAGACAGAGTGTTTGTCTGGAAGATCGATGCGATGCGATGCGGTGCAGTGCTGAGCTGCAAGGCTGGTGGTGCTGGCGCCGGTTGCCAGTGCGCCAACGTCTCGAGAAGGGGGTACGTGAGCAACAGATAGATGAAGGAGCTTGCTGTAGACGGAGACTGGGGACGGGGGAAACAATCAAGATGTTGCGAAGAGAAGAAAGCACAACAATGAAAGAGTGCCGTACATTGTAAGTATACGCGCATATGGATAGATGGGTAGGTGTAGCATCATTGATGGGTGTGCTTTGTTGAATGAGGAAGGGAGCTGAGGCTGTCTCGGAGAGAGCATCCGTCCCCACGCACTTGGGCAGGAGAGGAAAGGTCCCATCTACTTCAGGGCTCGGTACGGAGACAGCCAAGCCGGAATGTACCTTAACTCGCCCTGTCTTGGAATCTGGAACTTGTTGGCCCTGTCAGCTGCTGCCTATCTCAGACCTGCCTACCTGCCTGTCAGGGCCCCAGGAGAAAGAGAAGGAGGAGCACCTCAGATAGTCAGACTACTCGTCAGTACCTTACCTAAGGTGCCTTGCTCCGTAGGGGATGAAGTAATACTATGATCACTAAAGGGTACGCTTCCCACCTCATATGCCTGCTGCTTCATGTATCTAGCTTGGTGTAGGTACCTGTATCTCGCCTGAAGTTTGAACAACCTAAACTCAAGGGAGGAACAAGGAGATGCTCAAATGCTCTGTGTTGATGAGGCAAGCACGGGACATATTTGCTCCCGGCCTCTACTCTTTTTCCCTTGCGGTGTGCCGGAAGGTAACTTGTGGATTATGGATCACGGAGCTTTAGACTTTAGACTTTGACGCCTCCATCATTCACATCCCCGGCGTCTCGTTGGCACCCTGGCATCACGGAGTCACGGACCAGCTACGCATACACTACAGACACCAAGCTCATACGGATCCCAATTTCTACGAATACTTTTCCATTCACAGGCCTCTCGTTGATTACACTCGCATCGATTCCATCGATCGGTCTGGAGCCAAGCACTAATCTCTGCCCAACAAATCATCCCGCCTGGCCCGGGTCTCATTCCATCTACCTGATCCCATCGTCGCCATCCAATCCAGAGTGTCATCTATTCAAACCTACGGGGGAGTCTATTGCATAGGTAAACGGACAATGACTGGCCCATACGGAGTACTGCGCTAGTGTGTTGACACTCGACAGGAAAACGTCCCCTAGACTCTATTACACAGTAGACTTGGACTTGGACCGACTGATCAGGCCAGTTCCACCAACAAGTGCCAACTCTGTCCAAGGATCGGCCATCTGTCAATACTCTGCTTCAACCAACAAACTTGGATTCGGGCTTTGTTTGCTTCATCGACAGCAACCTTATCCCCGCTGTCACTCCAAGTTAGCTTTTGGTCCAATACCCTGACATACCCCGAGCAGTCTCGCCCCCTCCTTCCCCTCGCATCTTTGAAAGCATCTGGTCCAGCCTGGTCAGTGCCCTTGAGATTTCTCTCCTTGGTCCAAGGGGCGAGACTGGGAGGGAGGGCTGGAGCCAGACCCTTCGTCTCTCAACTCAGACGAGTCACGAACGACGTCAAGGAGTCCCCCAAGCTTTCTGGGGACTGCCCGGACCACGTGCACCCACCGAAAGCCAGAGGTAACTACCTGTGAATGGTGATTCTGTACGAATGGGCAAATAGACGCAGACGTGTTGCTCAGTATTATCGGCTTGTCCAGCCTATTGGATGGTCCCCTCCCTCGTACACCAATTTTTCGATTCGTTTTGACCTCGCGAGATAGGTAGGCACCTTATGCTGGCTGCTCTGAAGACTGGGACCAACCTCCCTTAGGTTTGGTTATATTACACCTCGACTCATCCCGACCTGGGTTTCCCAACTTCATGACATCAGAAGAGAAGCCCGAGTATTCAAACGCAGAAAGATTGCCCTGGCTGCATTACCGCGTATCCATCCATCTGTTCATACATACACAGTACTTCGTACACATGCCCCGGCGGACTTTGAGCCAGCACCAGCACTCCGGCCACACAAGGTCTATCCAGACTCGAGTGCGATACCTCAATAGCTAAGAGGGACCAGTTCACTTGGCAAAGACGCGCGAACGCAAACTGCTATTGTTTTCGTCCGGACATCGTTGCTCGTCCTATCTATCTCGAGTCCCTGAGGTCACCGCACTTGTTGATCGTCACCACATATGCCTCGGGATGCCAACAACTCTTTAAAAAGAGGCATCCCTAGACACCCGACGTCTATCGTCCCGTGCCTATTTGTATACCTACCAGTCACTGCTCCGTACAGACGCCAGAACCACAACCACCATCTTTTGCACCACACACCGGCACACACACAAAAGATCCAAAACCAACTCCCATCCACTGCACGCTAGCGGCACTGAGACAAGCCCTCGAAACTTGCGCCACCAGTTTGTCGTACCAGACCCTGTCCCGTTCTTGTCTCTGGTCTTGTCTGGCCCTGCAACCCGCACTGCAGCTTGGAGCATTCCCTGACGTCCCACACGTCCACCAACGCCTCTTGGGACTCTCGCTGCTCCAAGGCACGGCACGGTCTGCGGCCTGGAGCCCAAAAGTGCGTGGGGAACAACAGCATCCCATCTTCGCCAACCCCGGTCCCCTCGGCTCCTCCTGCGTTGTCCATCATCAAAGAGTCTTGCTCTAACCTGCTGAGCATTAGCGTCTGGAACCAACTCCAGTCCCCACGCCTTTCGCCCTGGCCTATCCTGGCCTGTGCTCTCTTGCACCTTACTCGACGTCTTCTGGACCTCTGGAAGAACATACGAACCATAAGAGACTCTTCCTCCTCGTTGTACACCACCACTCACACTCTCTCATCCGAGTCTTGGCGAGCAACACAACCATAGGACGAGAACACTTTAGCAACTAGGCTTTGCTTACGCCTTCGATCCTCTTCCGCCCGCCTTCTCTCACTCTCTCATCCTCATCCCCATCCTCAGTCTCATTCTATCTCATTCTCTTTCCATCTCTCGTCTCTCTCTCTCTCTCTCTCTCTTTTGCAAACAACAATTTCAGATTGCTCGCAGTACCCTCCTTGTGCCCCGAGCCACCAGTGCCATCACCCCCGTCCACCAACTCGTCCCATCCTCTAAACAGTGGCCATCTCGCCTTGTTGCCCCCGGGACGCTAGCCTGGTGTGGACGCTACTGGCGCTTTTCTCCCGGCACCTCAACCTGCCTATCCTTACAGCTTACGGCTACACAGCACTTCTCTCAAGTTCCCAGAGACCTCGACCCTCTCTCCAATCTGCGCTGCCCCCCTCCTCCTCCTGCCCCCCCCCCCCCCCCCCCCCCCCCCCCCCCCCCCCCCCCCCCCCCCCCCCCCCCCCCCCCCCCCCCCCCCCCCCCCCCCCCCCCCCCCCCCCCCCCCCCTCCCCCCCCCCCCCCCCCCCCCCCCCCCCCCCCCCCCCCCCCCCCCCCCCCCCCCCCCCCCCCCCCCCCCCCCCCCCTCTACGCCTGAACCGGGACCTGGACCTGGACCCTCATCAGGCACGCCTATCCGCTTCCCACTTCTCTTTCTACCATTTTCCCTTTTCTTTCCCATAACTACCTTCACAACAAAGTTGTCCAACACACGTAGAAAGTAGGATCGCGACCATGGACTTCTCTCACCAGTATTTCGCACAAGCGCAGCCGTACCAGTTCATGGGCATCCCGCCCCTAACGCCATCCCATTCAAACTCGGCAGGTTCAGACGACTTCAACACAACATCTCCACCGGTAAGTCGAATCCAAACGGGAATTCCTTTCCCGACTCGAGCCCCCAATACCCACAGGTCACTGGTGGATTGCTGCTTAGCGTACTGCGACATGCACTTACACAATCATGACCGATCAGGATGTCTACGCCGAATATCCCAACGACCAGCAGCACTTCAACAACTTTGATAACTATGCTGCTGCCCAGCAGTTCAATCCTCAGCATACATCATTCCCTGGCCCTCCTGGCCCACCGACACCACCGAACCATGGCTTGCCCGTACAGCAGCCCGTACAACAGCAACGGACACAACACAATGGAATGAGCGCTCCCCCGGTACAGCAGATCAAGGCTCAGCCCGATGCTCTCGTTCACAAGCAGGAGCCCCTCGACGATCATTCTCGTCGGGGTCAGTCAAATTCGGACGATGAAGAAAACATGACGCCTGCGCAATCAAGGAGGAAAGCACAAAACCGCGCCGCGTACGTTATTCTTCTGCTCTCCACGTCCATCGTCTTAGGCGGCATGGCATTTCTCATTGTTCTGGATCACTAACAGGAACCTCACAGGCAACGCGCATTCCGGGAACGAAAGGAGAGACACGTCAAGGACCTGGAGGCCAAGCTTGCGAACCTAGAGGCGGAGGCTCAACAAAAGTCGACTGAAAACGAACGACTCAAGCGTGAGATGCAAAAGATCAGCACCGAAAATGAGATTCTACGTGCAACCTCGTCAATGAACGGCCACCATAGCTCTGCGTCACCAGAACCCCGGACAACAGGTCCCATGCACTACAACCCGAAGGACTTCTACACAGACCTGCTAGCTCCGCACAATAACAAGACGCCGAGTCATCGAGTCGCTATTTCATCCGACGGCGAACGCTTGCTGGCAGCCGGCGCTACATGGGATTTCATCATCAGCCACCCGCTGTTCAAGAGAGGTCTGGTGGACGTCGGCGACGTAAGCGAAAGACTCAAGAATCAAGCACGATGCGACGGCCAAGGCCCTGTATTTTCGGAGCGCTGCATCATCGAAGCCATCGAAGGTAGCGTTGCGAGCGGGAGTGACGAACTGCTCTAGAGTGAAGAGACTAGGCAGCCCGCAGAGAAACCCAACAGCGGGACCCGAGGGGTGCGCTTTGTAAGCGACGTGCAGCACTACCTACAAGGTGCAGGGCAACGGACACAACACCGCCGCCCGCTCATGCATCGGGGCTAAGGTTCGGCGTTTGGTTCCATTTGGTTACACGGAGTCGAACTCACGGAAGGGGGAACGAAACGCTTGCTAAAACGACGTACGATATCAGGGCTCGACCTGTTTTTTTTTTGCATCATGGCCTTCCAATCTTTGTGACGTTACTTGACGGGCAGTACCGACAGCATGAAGTATATGACGTGGCAAACTATTTCTACTAGACGACATGGCGTCTTTTTTACACGGGGAATCACAAAGACCGCTGCACGGCGACGACCACGACATAGGCAACAAAGATGCCGTCGCCGGCAGGGCTTTATGGGCTTTGGAGCATGTTGGACATCATCGGATAACGCCAGAGGAAGCGCGCACGATCTTATCTTGGGCAGCACATGTTGCCTCGTCGGTATGCTCGGAAATTTTTCCAGTTTTTTTCTTTTTCTTTTTGGGGCAAATTGCATGCTATTCGGGGTTACTCTGGTCTCCTTTGCCCAAGACAAGGCGATTTCCAAGCGGAGGAAGAAGGGCGATCGAACTGCTTGGCTGAGACGGTCAAGGAGGATCTGACTTTAGATCCTTCTTGTCGGGATGATGTGATGGGATTCCTTTGGATGCGAGTATACTTCATCGAGATATCGTTAAGGAAGAAACATGGCATTATCTTGATATGTTTGGTGCTATCGTGCCGTCTGACTTGCACATAGGAGGAGACACTATAGTGATGACAGTGATGAAGACCATCACTTCTCAACGCATGCTCAGGGTCTCGTCGGCGTCTCGGAGCGAGCGGCGAGAAGGCGGCAACAGGCGGGGTTCCGCCGGCGCCTGGCTGCGCCGTACTGGTCTGACTGAAATGCCGCCAATAGGATCTGACTACTCTGTATTACCCAGGCGAGGGTGATCACCTCTTCCATCCGGTCCTTTCTCGATCGATGATTCCATTGATACCGTTTCGCTCGCCCGAACCCCAATCTGTCGCATTTCCCGGGGTTCCGTCCTTTGTCGGGTCCTTTTTTCTCCCTTTGACCACCCTACTATAGGTACACGTATCTTGGCTACTTTACTTTTACATAGGTGGGTTCGTTGTTTTTACCTTACTCGTAAAGTCGCCGAAGATCCGAGGGCGTTGGGAAAATGCAACGAACCTACCTACCTTTGATGAGTTCAGAGAAGGTAAGCCGAGGCTCGAAGCTTCACCTGGACTTGCTTTGTCTCGACTCTGAGATGCCACAACACCTGACCTTGTAGTCCTATCAACAAGGGCAGGTATGATTAGTTGGTGGGAAAACCCATCTTTCTTCTTTCCGTCGGTTCGTGTGTATCTTCAACATTAGGATGGATTGGTACCCTCTTCATCTAAGCTTGCTTACAAAGATGTCATGAAATACGGGTTGTAGAGAAGACAGCGATCGCCACCCAAAACCGCGACAACAATGACAGCAAAGTCTCCGTATCGGGAACTGGTAGCCGAACGTTGAAGAAACGGGAGCCAAAAAGAAGACTTGAAATCCACACACCCCTCAACTCCTGGAAAAAGATGCCAGATAGGTAGGTGATGAAGAAACTAAAGAGGTGGAAAGGAAAAAAAACGACAAATCACAGCGCAGAAGAAACAATGATGATGCTGCGCCCAAAAAGAGGAAGCAAAACAGAAACGAACAAGATTATTCGCAAAACCACACAAACTTCCGTCACATCGTTACTTTTCCCTTGCCTGCCTGCCAGCCTGAACCAGCCCCGTCCATCCATCCATCCCAAGAACCAGTCCGATCCCCGGCAAAGAGGGAAAGAGAAACCGACAGACGGGGCCCTCTTCCGCCTGTCATCATCACCTGTCATATTCGCATATCGTTCCCCTCCTTACCCGTCCATCCCCGCCCGGTTCGTCAAAGTATCATTATAGTTGTCGTTTGGACGTTCCGAATCAAGTTTATGGTGCCGATGCTCGAAAGGAGAAAAAAAAAAGGAGAAGAGAGGCGAGGATAAAAACTTTGCGCAACACCGACCATGAAGGTTTACGTCTCTTGTCCTCCTCTTCTGTAAAAAGGTCGAGAAAAGATCCGAGCGTGACCTGAAAGGGACTGCAGCCTTTGCTGGTCCCGTTCGAAATCTTTAATCTTTCAATCTTAACCTTCAACTCTCCCGTCGGCTGCGAATTTGCAACCGGCTATCGGGTGGAGGGCTTGATTCCGTCCCGTCGGCTGGTCAGCTGGGTATCACACCGTGCGGTATGTCTTGCCGAGGCTAGCAACAAGACTGTAATCTCGGTGAACCGGCTTCTACTGCGACTTCTTGCCGGCCACCTGGGCGCTGCCGTTGCTCTCCTTGCCCTCGACCCACGGGTGCTTGATGGTCAGGCACCAGATGTCGAGGTAGTCGCAAATGGTGACAATAACATCCACCACGAAGCTGCCGTAGACACCGACAGCCATGCCGAGCATGGAGAACATAAAGGCGACCTGGTAAACGCCGTCGCCGAGGGCGCTGGGCCAGCCGAAGCCAAAGTTGCGCTGCAGGACGGGACCAAGCGCGTCACCGACGCCAAAGGCGAGCGGCAGGCCGAGGACGTTGGAGTAGGGGAAGTCGAGCTTGACGAGGTGGGCCGTGATCATCTGGCCGACAGAGTAGGCGTTCACGATGCCGGCGAACATGACGAACGGCACGAGATGGGCGTGCAGGATGGCCGGGTTGAGGAGCAGGTACGAGATGATGAGCACCCACATGCCGAAGAAGGGTAGGAGACCCAGCAGCGCGCCGCGGGAGCGGTCGCCGCGTGCGCGGCGGGCCTGGATGACGTTCCGCGCCGACTCGATGGTGTTGAGGACGAGGACGAAGGAGCCCTGGACCATGTACCACTGCGTAAAGGAGAGCTCGTAGAGGGCGGCGGGGACCCCCAGCTTCTCGGAGACGCCAAAGGTGCGGAGCATGGACTGCTGCCAGAAGGAGGCGCCGCCCATGTAACCGGTCAGGGCGTAGACGCCAACGAGGATGAGGACGCCCTCGACGGGGCCGTTGACGATGCCGAGGGTCAGGGTCTTTGTGTGGTACTCGTCCCAGGTCTGGACGTAGAAGGTGAGGAGGGCTGTGGGCGGTAAGAAATGATTGTGTTAGCCTCTTGCTTCCGGGCTTCACGGGCAGCAATATGAATAGAATACGTACAAGAGAAGAGGACGGCGACCGTCATCCAACCCTGGCCCATGTTTTGCGACGCGGCGAAGACGAGAACTTCGAGGGATGTGTTGAGCGCATCGACGCCGTGGTCAAAGAGCTCGCCGAGCGGTCCGGACTGGTGCGTTCGTCGACTATTTCGCCAAAATTTCCACATTAGCTTCCATTTATCTCCTCGAGAAATCCCAGATATGGGAAGATAATAATGAAGGAGAAGAGGGACTCACGCCTGCGATCCGTCCACGGCATCAAAAGTCTGGTATAGGAACAGGCCAACGGCCCACGAGTAGTACACCCAGCTAGGGCAGTCCTGGTCGAGCGTCGGGTTATACCAGAGCAGCGTCAGGACGTTTGCAATGACAAAGGTGAATCCCGTCAGCGTGATGAGGTTCGGCGCCATGCTCATGGGGAACATCTTGATCACGACATTCGTGTAAAAGGGCTTCAGGATGTACTTTGACGTCAGCGAGTGGTCGACGGCAGAGTACTTGTACTCCTTGAGCGCCGGGAGGCGTTCCTGGCGAACGTAGACCATCTTGGGCGAGCGTTGCTTTCGGGAACTATCTCGAGAGTTGTGATCGACGGAGCTGGTGCTTTTCGGCCCCTACGTGTGGTGTAGGTAGTTGGGGGAGAAGCTGTGCAAAGAGCCGCGGGGGGTTATTTGCAGTCGTGCGTTTCCTTTTGTTGTCAGAAAGCTCTTTTATTTATTTTTTCCCTCGTCCTGTTGTCTGGCGGATCGGACTCCACGCGAGTCCCGGGGAAGACAATCTAGAGCGCCGTAGGACCACTAAATGGGTCCGAAAAGGTATCCGTACGTCGGTCCAGTTTCTAAGCGGTGACGATGGCTTCAAACCGGGGTTGGTCGAGGGCTCGGTTTCGGCGGGGGGTGGTGAACAAGGTTTGTGCGGTGGGCAGGGCGGAAGGGGGGGAAAGCTTCAAAAGAGCATGTGGAGACTAGTGAAGTTGTAAAGACTTCGGTTCGCCAAGGTGAGTGTCAGAGTTGTCCCGAGACAAGCGACGAGATTTGTTCAATAAGACCTGACGAAGTTGCGTTGAGCAGAGCAGGTTGAGAAGCCCGAGAACTTGACATGTGGTAACAGCGGAAAGGTCGCGTGGCCGTCGTGTCGCGCCGAAAGGGCCAAGCTATTTTTTTTTTCTTCACTAAGGTACCCTTCCTTGGACAGCTCAGCTTGAGCGCACACGCAGAGAACTCCGTCACCGAACGTCATTTCTGTCCTGGCCCTCGAGCTCTAGCACATCCCAACATTCCCGCCCAGTCCTCATTGGGATTAGCCTTCCTGGCCCGTGCCACACGCGTCAAGCGCCCCCCCCCCCCCCAAAGTGTCAGTCGTCAAGCTCAATTTCAGCACCAACACCAGCTCCGCTTGACGTCGATCAACTGACATGCGCCGCGAGGCTTGACCTATTCTTATTTGACAAGCGTCTGGATGCTGACAAGGGTTGGGCGTGGAGCTGATAGTCAAATCTACCTTACCCATCTACAATTACCGGTACCCAAGGTGCCAAGGTAGCATCGTAGGCTTGCGCCGTGTATGATGATTGTGTGGGTGGCCCTCATACACATTCACTTTCCACTTCACACCTGAATCTACTAGTACTTCGTGATGCTTTTTCATGTCTTCATTCTAGTATACGCAAGCCGCCAGTCCTTTTACGCGCACGCTGATGCGCTCCAACTCCTGCTCGACACCCCCAAAGCTACTATGGTGGCGGCTGCTCGGTCGAGTACCTTGGGCTATAATCAAAGTTCTCGTATCTTTGTGCTGCCGTACGTACGTCTGTGCTTGGAATATCCGACCATGTATCGATCCCACAAAACTCCGAACTGTCTTCCTTAAGCAACCGATGCAACAACAAGCGACGCTACGCCCTCCTCCTCGCTGCGAACCGTGATCTTGGTCGTCACACCAGACTTGGACGAGTATGCCATCCGGATGTTAGCCACCACCCTGCCGCCGCCAACAGTCTTTCCGAGCAACTTGAGCGTATGTGTCGTTTGGTTGACGGGCACATCTGTACCCTCCAGGGGTTGCAACGACAACACCTTCGCCAATTCTTCCGTTGCCTCTGTATGTCATGGTTAGCTCTACTCATGACGGATCCACCCAGTAAGTACTCACCTGCTATGCTCTTCATACTGCTGAGCTGCAAAGTCTCCTCGGCCTCCTCACCGGCCGCACCCACCTGCTCCCAGATGTGATTGAAGTTGCTGGCGAATGTCGGAATGACATAGTCGCTGCCTGACAGGTCGAACTCGGCCACCTCGTACTCGTCGTCGTAGCCAGTGTCCTCTGGCTCGTTTGTTGTGGGATCAATCTCCTTGCTCGTGAACTTGAGCACGTTGGAGATGCTGCTAACGGGCATGGAGCCCTCGCCGTTGATCTTCTTGAAGGCCACGTACAGCTTACCGGGTTCATTTGTGGGAAGCTTGTCAGCCTGGATGATGAAAACCTCCTCAAGCTCCTCCTCTTCGGAAGGCGTCGCCACGATGGACACGTTTTCAAGAACGGTCGCATCCAGCGTGTTCTTAACTTCGTACTGGAATACAATGTGCTCCTTGAAAATGTGCTTGACGACAGTAACGACGTACTCCATCTCTGACTCGGTAAGCTCGACAACAGGCGACGACTTGAGCACGCTGCCAAACTCCTTCATCTCGGGGATCTGCATCAGCTCCTGGGCGTAACGCTGAGAAGCCGCAGTTGCAGATGCAGCAGCCTCCGCGCCACCTGCAGCGGCCTTTGTAGGGCCAACCTTGGGAGGCTTGAGAGACGGGGCAGTTGCCGTGAGCTTCTTCGTCCGGTCCTCCGCGTCTGCCTGCTCGCGAGTAACGACAGGGATCTGAGAGATGTCGAAGGGGCTGTCAAATGCGGACTTGTCCTCTGATGTGACATACATGACGAGCTGGTGCTCAAAGTACGGCAGAGAGAACATGCTGTCTGTAGAGGGGTCAATAAGGAAATCTACACAATCACCCGCATCAAACGTACCATTCTTGACAAACTTCTCAGAGATCTCATCCTCCTGGTGCATGAGTCTGAGGTTGAGCGCTGCACGATCTCTGACTTCATCGTCCACATCATCCAAACATCTGGTAAGGAGAACCTCAACACTGCGCTTGACTTCGGGATCCTTCTGGCCGACACCGAACTTGGCAAGAGCAGTGACAGCGGCGGCACGCACAATGGCGTTCTCCAGAACCACTCTGTTGTAAATGTAGCGGATGTACTTCGTAGGCTGAGAGGTCTTGGGTCCTTCGAGACCGAGAAGGTGAAGGATTCTAACCGCCAGCTTGGTGAACTCGCAGTCCTCGATGAACTCGCAAAGGTGGGCAAGCGCATCCTCCTTGGATTCCGGTACAAACTTGATCAAATCGAACATGCTCTCGACAACGGCGCGCTTGAACTCGTACCCACCCTCGTCACGGAGAATGCCACTCAAGAAAGCAAGCATACCGGCCTGCTTGCTAGGGAACTTCAAGCAGAGCGTGCGGATGGCCTCAACGATGGTAATCTTGAACTCGTCCGTGATCTCAGACATGAAACCAGAAATCTGCTTCATCAAGCGATCAACGCTAGCCTCGTTACCGGTCTTGAGCAATGTGGTAATGGCAAAGGTGGCGATGGATCGGTTGCTGTTGGAGATCAGGAGCTCGATGTCGGGGTTGCAGACGTTGACGGCGTTGGGCTTGAAGGAGGCGAAGTTGTGGAGGATTCGGAGAGCGGCGAATTTTGTGACGGCGCGGGGGGAGGTGAGGAAAAGCTGGAGAACGTGGACGGCCTGGGAGACCTCGGCGTCGGTGACATCTCGCATATCGCAGATAGCCTTGGCGGCCTCGAAGTTGACCATCTCGCTCTTGTGGCGCAACCAGCCATCCAGTAGCTGCATCATGGGCTTTCTGAGCGACGGGTCCTCCTCGGCCAGCTGGGCAGCCAGACGGACGAGCATGACGATCGCCGCAGAGCTCTTGACAGCACCAGCGGCACCGAACTGCTGCACCATCTTGACGAGCGCCATGCGGTCGTGCATGCGCATCGAGTATAGCAGACCAATGGCGTGGTACTGGGGCATAGTGGAGTTGTTGGCGGGCAATTGACCGCTCGACGAGGAGAAGCCCAGGGAGAAGCCGCTGGAGGACTTGGTGGAGGCCGCAGCTTCCTGCGTCTCGCTCTGCCAGCGGCGGACGACATCCTTGGCGATCGGGAGAAGGTGGTAGGAGGAAATGAGAGCCGCGGAAGATACAGAGGGGTTCTTGTCGACGATTGCCGTCTTCATCACACGCTCAATGGACTGAACTGTGGTCGCCTGGAAGCTAGTTAGCAGACTGCCCTCTCCCTTCCATGTAGCTTACAGCTTTGGCGTACATCGATAATGCGGCACAGGGCCCTGATGGCGTTGGGTCGGAAGATGGCATCGGTGCTGCCTCCTGTATCCTTCATGATGGTGCTGGTGACCATGATAATATCCTCGGCCGAGTGAGCCAGCTCCTTGATGACAAGGTGGACCATCTGTCGCAAGCTGGCATCTTTATTCTGGAACAGCTTCGAGATACCGAAGAAAAGGGTCGTCGCTTCGTTTGTGGGGAACTTCTCGCCCGTGTAGAGCAGAAGGGCAATCTTGGTAAGGAGGATTCGACATCTTCGCGGCTGGATTGGGGAGCTGTTGAATAGTCGTGCTGTTCACTCCCGTTTAGCCAGCTTGCTCGCCCAATGCTCGAAGGGGTTCCAGAGGGATGCAGAGGATCGATTGCAATTCCGTCAAAAACTCACCTTCTTGAAAAACCTGGGTCCTGTCCACCTTCACCAGGCCCAAATCCGCATCTTCATCTTTCTTGCCGTAGCTCATGTTGGGCAGCGGTTTTTGGCGGACTGCTTGAGGTCGGCGTCGGTGACTTCGAATGGGACAGTTGGCTGCTCCTGACGCCTGGTGGATAGCGTTGCGAACATGGGTGTGGGGTCCTTGCACGTGACATGGAGCCACACTTCACTTTCACGTCGTGTCTATCTTATCTGGCTTCAAGGGTGGTACCCAGCTCATTGGAACACCTCTCCCTGCCTACCCTACCTTGCTATGTAGGTAAGATATACAGTCGAACTATACATGATTCGTTGTCAAAGCCAAGTCATGATCTTCAGACTTTTCTTAATGCAATGTTGCAAAGCATTCAATGTCATCACCTTGGCATGTGGGATCAATCTGATGATACCTAAACTTTTTGATTACCTATCTGAGAGTAATAAAGTGGAAAAGACTGATGACCGCCTTTGCTGTCCTGTGTAATCGCCAGAATTCAATAAAACGCCCCCTTAACAGCTTGCTTCGTCCCCCCTACGCTATCTTTTGGGGGTACTGCTGCTCTGTCAAATGTCGTCCCAATCCCAAGGTCTTTCCCCAGGTAATCCACACAAAGGGGCCCAAACCAGGTCCCCATCCAAGCGACGGTGCTAACGAAGCAGAAGATGATTGACGAAAACCTCCACGAGATCTACTCATCACTGTCTATACACTGATCGGAGACCCTGAGCAGACCTGTCGACCATGCGTGGGTCTGGGTCTTCCCACTGATGGAATTGAGGGTGATCGTGAGCTCCCTCCTGGTGGTTCACCAGGGCAGAATAGGCCATGGTGAGAAAGGGTTCTGTCGCCTCCGAGACCGACATGTTGTTCAGCTGAGCGACCTTGATGGGCGGGTACTCAGTCTTCTCAGCCTTGGCCTTGGGTCGTCGGTCACCGATGACACCGACCTGGCGCTTGAAGTCACGGAATTCCTTTTCCTGGATAACAGCCATCATTGATTTGCCAAGCGCGCCTGTGCCCGCATGAAATAGCTGGCTGATTCTCTCGTTGCGTTTCTGGAGCGCATCATCCGTAATGGCCCACGTACCCTCCGTCCAGGGAGGCCGAGCGGTCTTGGGATAGTCGGCTTGCCAGTCATCACTAGAGACTATAGGCATGGCGGATGCAGCCTGAGCACGGCTTGTGGCTTCGTTCATGTTCTGTCCAAGCTTGATAAACTCTAGAACCTTCTCCATCTGTTGATCAGACACTTTTCGCGCCTCGTCGACGACGTCCTGGAAGCAGTCGTCTGTGTCGGGTGTAGAGCCGCAGAGAAGGGATTCGAGTGGGCTTTTAAGATGAATGGGTGTCTCTGCGCCCCGGGACCTCATGGGTTCGAGTGTCATGTGCTTTTGCGGACCCAAAGTCGTTTGACCCGACAAGAGTCCGTCGAGCGGCATCTCTTTCGGGCCATTGTTGAGGGCCTTCATCGTGGTCTCGAACGTTGATGTCCGATACTGTCGGTGACCCGGGGGGCCTGCAGTCAGGGGACGAGGAGCGCCTGGGCCAGTTGCAAGAGTAGACTTGTATGCTGCCTGTGGGGGATCTCTCTGGATAGTGGCTGCTGGGAAAAGACCAGGGGGCGGGCCTGTGCAGTTGATGTGCCCGGAGTTGTCAGGGCCATGGCTTGATGTATCGGCTTTCATCTTGAGAATGTCGTTCGGATCCGTCTTGGCAGAATGGAATAGAGCAGGAGAATGTGAGCCGTCATTTCCCACATCGAAACCCTCAAAGGTCTGGGCTCCGTAAGACGGAGTGGCTGTGCGGCTGATGTTGCCAGCAGATGGAGCCGGCGTTGCACCCGGCCGAGAACGAAGAAGGGCCCTCTGAGCTCTCTTCTGGTTCGGATTGGGGTATGATGCCAAGTTGTGGAGAGACTTGACAGTCAGGCCTCGAAGAGGATTCTCGCCAGAGCTCTCATCGTCTTCATTGTCAGTCGAGTTGGCATCGACATGCTTCTTCACGACAGGTGTGGGCATGGCAGCAGCAGCTGGTGAGGCTTGATTCCTATCCATGCTGTAAGATGGCATGAGAGAGGAAGACGAAATGCTTGGGACGTCCAATTCATTCGGAGACTCAAGGCTGTAGTCGGTGAGAGGGCTGACGGCGCGGTCGTAGTTCTGCTGAAGAGGCGAGTACTTGGGAATCTGAGGTGGGCGAGGACTGGTGGGTGTAGTGACGAGATTCTGGGACTTGAGAGGCAAGCCGGCAAGAACTGACTTGGGAAAGAGAGACAGCTCAGAAGCAGCGGCTCCCTGGGCAGGCCACTTGAGAGTGCGGCCGCGACGAACGGGAGGCTGGAGCTGCTGGGCGGTACTGGGGTTGTAGATGGTACCGGCAGTCGTGTAGGTTTGTCTAGGAACATCCTGCTGGAAGGTGCTGACAGATTGCTGGATATAGGTAGTAGTGCCCCCCGCCGCCGACGAGGAAGAAGATAGATGATCCATGTTGAGATTCAGAGGCATCGCCAATACTTGGAAGCATCCAACAAAATTCGGAAATCCTGATATGGATAAGCGTTGGCCAAAGACGAATTTCTTTTGTGTTGATCCAGTTCGGAGAGTATTTCTCAGACGGTGAGCATCCAAAGGAGTGCTGTGCTGCTGCTGTTGTTGTTGCCGTGGCGGATGAAGGAACGACTGATGATGAGACTGAGGAAGGAATCAAGAAAAGAATGGTGCCAATTGCTTTGGACGTAAAAGCTTCAGGTCATCTCGTCTGGAAGTAGAGATGGGAGGTGAAGCTGTCACGAAGCGGCTGTTGACGAAAATTGCAAGTTGAGGAGGGGTGATGGATGGGTTGAAAAATAGATGGAGGGAGGGCGAAAGGAAGAGTTGATGAAGTCAAGGGGAGGGGCCGAGGGCCGACGCTTTGCAAGGCAGGGTATCAATGTGCGTAGAGGGGACGGAAGGTGAGGTCGCGGTCTGAAGGTCGGATGGAAGGCGCGCTGGCGCGCCCGTAGGTGGTTTGGCAGACAGGGAAGGAATGAGGTGTGAGGTGGGTGGAAGGTGCAGGCAGCCTTGCAGGTGAGTTGAAGGTGAAGTAGGAAGGCAGGAGCCTCGTCGAGGCAGCCCAACCCAAGGCGGCCTTTCTTCCTTCGACCTTAAGAAGAAAAAAATGCGCAGATGGCCAGATAAGACAAATATGGTAGAGGGGACTGGGAAGCAAGGCAGGAGTCGAGTAAGAATCTTCAGATCAGTGCCTGCATCTCAGCCTTGCTCTCGTCGGTCTCTTGCAGCAGAGTAACGCAAAAAGTTCAACGCTCAAGAAGACAATACCAGCAAGGTTACAACGCAGCCCGGTGGAAAAGTCAAAGTTCTAAACGCCAACACTCTGCGCAGTCGATGCGGAATATCTCGAAGATGAAAGCATACCACTGCCTAGTAAGAAGCCTGTATGCGAGCCCGTAGTATATCTGCCATCCTCTGTAACAGTTCTGTGGAAACCCCTTTACCGAAGCCACTCAGTCTGATTTTGAAGTTGGTAGAACCATTCGGAACGACAAGATTCTCCTCGAGGGCAGGAAGAACGACCGGCGGAGAGTCAAACACCCACAAGTGATATCGACACAGTTCCCCTTCGGTAGCCGTCGTTCTGTTGGATGGGTGTTCGGGACTGTCGCATGGGATTGTGGCAAAGCAGACAATGTAATGATTATGCTTCTCGAGGTTCATTCTGTCGACGAGGTGCTTGGGAGAACGCACAATACCAGTGGCATACATGCTGTCGTCGGATCTCGGAATACGGGATAAAGACGGATCAAAGATCAGAGTGAATGGGAATGTTCCGACGAAAGAGCGGTTGGGACGAAAAGTGATCTGATTCAAGGTCGGCTTTGATTCATCTACAATACAAGGTAAGCGAGCTCCTCGTCTTATATCTAATGAACCTTTGTAGTAGGCTGGCCCAAGGTAGATGTCCTCCCCCCCCCTCTCTTACCTGATGGCTCGCAGCCTGTGACCAATTACCAGGGAGAACAAACTCACGCTCCTGATTTTCTCACCGGAAAACTCAGCATATCAAAATCCACCTTCTCCATCCACCACCGCCAACGGCCAAAACCGCTGGCGCCCTACAATAGTTCAACGCTCCAACAAAACACACAAAAGGTCCGCATATGCAACAGCCACATATCCACAACGATCAAAGGTTTTTAGGCGCAGATATGTCGGGTTACACGATCCCCGAGCGCCCCCTTTTCCCTCTACCACACCTTTCCTTCGTTCCCCGGCCCAATGAACAAGCAGGATTATCTCTCACCATTCCCTCTATGAGCAGAACGGAGAAAAAGCCTCTCCTCTCTCTCGAGTATGAACGATCATCAACCAATCATCTCGAAAAGTACGCAACAGGACACCCACGCCAGGCCAGCGAAATGTCAAAAGACCAGAGACCTCGAAACGTTGAATCAGAAGGGCCTCCAAAGTCAAAGTTCGCCGCATTTGGCTATTGCTCCCCTTAGCTGCCGTGCTCGACCGGCCAATCCCACGGGAGGGCTTCCATGTCCGGCTAAGGAGTCGAGAAATAAGGTTGGTGGTGGCTTGTTCCCTCTTCCCCAGAGGATCTCGTGTCACTGATTTAGGGCTTCAACTTTACCCCCTTGACAGGTGATAGGCTACCTCAGGCCGTACCTTGACATCCGGGGCAACCCATCTTCAAGCTTGGACTTGCCCACATCTCGCATCCTGCGTCACGAGACTAAGCCCAAGCAAGCAGAATCGAAGCCATCCAGCAAAGTGTCCGAAGGGTAGATAGCAAGGAGGCGTTCGTCCGGCCCCCGCCTCCCCGCCTCCCCGCGCCCCCCCTTTCTGTCGTACCGTACCGTTTAACCAAAGAGGTAAGAAGGACTCAGAACAATGTCGGGCCGTAGACAGCCATCCAAGCTGGAAGGCTGTTTCAGCCTAGAACATCTTCGATCTCGGAGGCGCTTCTTACGTCTTAACCTCCCATACCTCCAGCCTAAACTCTATCGCAGCCGCCTTCGTCCGTAAGATGGCCTGATGTTGCAGATCTCGAGGGGACACCTAGTAGCCCTATCCGCTGTTAGCCCGCATGACAAAGTCCATTGTTGGTCCGGGCTAGACACTAAACTGAGTCGGCCCGTACGTACGTCGCTCGTTGCCTTGATCAGCAAAGAACTGCCAAGACTTTGCCAGGTGAGTAAGGTAGCTGAATGTCAGCTCGTCCAAGACGTTCCGGATGACTAGACCGGTTGTGCGCTCAGGTCCGAGAGCCTCCAACTACCATGGCGCATCTTCGTAACTGCAATTCGTGTTAGTGACAGGATGAGTAGCCGCAAAACGTTGACTAGAGCACATGCAAGTATAGGTCACTGTATATGGCATAGCGCCAACGAAGTAGTGTAATCTCTCGTATTCTCTCTGCCACCACCCTTCACTATGATACTAAGGTCTCGCACGCATTCTCAGCGAACGACGTATGTCAGGCACCAACCGCGGCGAGACCCAGCTTCCCTCGATTCCTAGCTTCCTCGTCACATGCAAGATAGCTGAAGGGCGGGCTCAAAGAGCCAAGCCGACGATCCTGAAACCATTTGTTTTTAATCATATCCACACACGCCACCATGAAACCGCTCATCAAAAAAAAAAGGTCGTAATCAACCGCGACCAGATAGCCTACACATGCTTCAACAGTATTCTATCATATCCCGCATGCTTTGTTCCAGGATCGTTGAGCTTGAGAAATCAGACATGATCCAAAGAGTTGGCTGCCCTAGTAGGCAACGGTGTCAGGGAGCCTTGGGATGCAACTCTGAATCATCTAAAAGAGAAGAAAGACAAAGGTGGCCCGTGTGTTTGTAGTAAACGACTCAGGAAAAGGGTTGGTGAATGCTGGAGTCGAAACTAATTTTCATCCACGCTGCTTCGATGCAATGAAGCATTTGAAAGAAGAGAATGCCCGTTTTGAAGAAATCCACGAGTCCGGTGTATGTACTGGGCGGACGAGAACTGAATGTTGCTTGGGGTATCGGCTGAAGGACATGACTGTAAAAACATCATGAGCCTGTGCTGAGACTCGGAAATTGCGACTCGTGTTGTTCAAGGAAGGTTGAGAAATGAAATGCCAGGTATCCCACTTTTGGTGTATATACTTGGCGAGTTGACTCGACTGACGAGAAAGAACCAATTACGGTCGAGTGAAAAAGGGAAGGGTTTGGAATTATAGGCCTTGCGGATACGCACTGCCGGGTATCATGCCGGTGCCTCCTGCTCGGGATGGGGGGCCGAGGCGACTGCCTGGAAGCTCAAAGTCGGGGTTGTTGTTCAAGAGCATGTCTTGCCTTCGCTGTTGGACGGGTCGTCGGGGTGGCATCGGCTGACCATACCCTGGCATTGGCGGCGCAGGATTCCACCTCGGGTTTACCCCTCTCTGGGATATTGAGGTGAAGTTGGACAGATCAGACTCGGCGCCAGGACTACGTGCACCGGCATCCGCATGAGCGTCATCATACATATTGGGCGCGGGTAGAGGTACCTGAAGGCCAGGCGGGGGACCTGCTCTTTGAGCCGGTGCCGGTGCTGGCGCGTCCGCGAAGCGCGGATCGACATCTTCGTAATAATCGCTGGCTGCTGGCGCAGGCGAGCTTCGGTTGAGCATCTCAGCAGAGCGTTGCTGTTGCAGCGGAGACGCCGTGCGTGATGAGGCCTGGTTCTGGTTCCAAGCCTGACGAGGTGGGACATAGGCACTAAAGATTCAAAATCAGCAAAGCTCTCTTCTGTTTCAAAGATTCAAGGGACTTACTCGTCTTGGCTGTACCTGCTTGCCTCGCTCATGTACGTGTCGTGCCTCTGAGGGTGAGACCTGTTTCCGCCGTTTTGCTGCTGCTGGAGCCCGACCATGCCGGCAATGTCAGCATCACTGTCACGGAACTGACCGAAACCCGCAGGTGGATGCGCAGGGCTTCCTGTAGCGGCGTCCATCTCAACCGCTTGGCCAACCATTGGCTGTCCGTCGTGGCCAGGGAGAGGCGGAGGTGATTCAGCTCTCGGCAAGCTCTGACGCTGAGGGTTGTAGGCTTCATAGCCCTGCTCTTGTTGAGGGATAGATGGGAGAGAAGGGTTTGTGAGGTTGTTCGAACTGGTGTAACCCGGGGCCATATCCATGGAACGACGTCCGTAGGGGCCGCCAGGAGGAGGACCACCGTAGCCGTTGGCTGGGCTTGGACGACGGTCGTACGGTCCAGGACCTCCGGGACCACCAGGTCCGGGTTGATAACCTGGCGGAGGTGGTCGGCCTCCTCTCATACTGTTTGGTCCAAAGCCGCCGCGAGGGGGTGGCGGGCCATACCCGCCTCGACCACCAGGCGGAGGGCCACCATAACCTCCTCGTCCGGGAGGACCTCCATAGCCACCTCTTCCTGGCGGCGGAGGGCCGTAGCCACCATATCCGCCTCTGCCACCGTAGCCACCACCGCGCCCTCTGAATCCTCCAGGAGGCATACCGCCCCTACCTCTCATGCGCTCCTGCGAGGGACCTCTTCTTGGGCCAAATCCATCTTGAGGCGGCAGCGGGTTTCCATAAGGATCTCTCTGAATCGGCGGGACAGAACCAGATCGTGAAGGAGGAGCATCGCTAGCAGTCATGACGCCTTGAGAGCCATTGACCGGACTTCTTGCTGTGAGAGGGATACGTTCATCGCTGACCTGGTCATTGTTCTTCTGAGATTCGAATGAGGCAAAGGTCGGCATCTTATCAATGCCGTTTCCTCCGCTGACAACGGGAACAGTAGGCTGAGAGGCGACCGACGCAGCAGTCTTTACCTGAGCCTCGCGGTTGTAGTAATTCTCTCCGCTCATCTCAGCGTTCTCGGCGATTCTCTTCTTCCTGGCCTTTCTGCTGACCAACATGCGGCGCATAGCACACGAGACCAAACCGCTCATTCCGACAAGAATGGTAGCGGCAAGGACGATGTATGAGCCCCATGCCATGTGGGGGACGAAGAGGAGAACATCAACGAGGAAAGCCAATAGACAGATGAGGAAGTCGATGAAAGAGAAGATGAAGAGGGCGAGAAGGTATCTCGCAGAATGAGAGGGCGAGTGAAGGTGAGCGACGGCAGCCATGATGAACATGATGAGAGTCGCGAGGGCAGCGACAGGATGTACGATCAAGATGGCTGACAGAGTGTTTCGGGCAGAGTCTGGGAGGTCAAAGGCCCCCTTACTATCCGCGGCTCCAAAAACTCGTGCTGTAGAGAGTGTCAGCCACAGTCCCCCGTTTCGGTAGTCAGCAGTGTACCACGTTGAATTACTTACTCGTGTCATAACCAATCTCAGGGCCTTCGCAAGTGCCGTCTGCCTTACAAACGCCAAAGACTCCAAAGTTGGCTCCCTTGAAACTACCCAGCGGAATAGCCTTAATAATCGGGGTCGATAGGGTAGACAGCAGAAGCAAGGCGAAGGCCGCAAAGAGCAGCACCGACATGGGGGTTGCCGGCCGCAACATGACGGCGGTTTGTCGTCGAAGAAACCTGCTTCCAAAGAGTGGTACGGTGAGCCGGCGTCGTCAAGACGCGGCGAAATGAGGGGTGGGTTGCGCTTGAGGGATTCGGGTGTCGTCGTCAAGAAGTTGTTCGGGGTCGGCTAGTGTAAGAAGAAGTGGTTGCGCGGCATCGTCTACTGGTTGGACAAAATCGTAGTCGAAAATAGTGACATGAATGAGAGTAACGAAGTGTCGATGAGAGCCGTATGGCAATAGATTCCTTTCTCTTTCTTCCCTGCTAATCCTCTTGCTCGACTGTCCCCAAAGTTTGCTCAGTCGGTATCCTAACGGGTGCTGCTGGTATTGCCGCTGAAACAATGTCGCAAGGAGACGGAATTTCGGTCGACGAGTTTAAATCAAATCGATTCGGACGAGGTCGGAGAGAGTCGTGGAAGTTTTGTCGTGTCCTAAATGCAGGGCTGCATCCAGGGGAATTGGATTGAGGTTGTGCGAAGTGAATAGGATCGAGTTCCTCCTGTTCGACCTGGAGAAGGGAAGAGGGAGAAAGAGACAAAGGTACGCACGATCTGGGGAGGGAGACGATGTGGGCGGAGTGGGAGAGTGGGCGACTTGTGTGGAGGGAGCGAAGATGGAAAAGTGGGGTCTTGACCGTGGGTGCAGCAGGAGTGGGCAGTTTTGGGCCACACGGCAGGGGAGCCAAGGGGATTTGGGAACAGGGGGGTGCAGTCAAGTGTCGCAGAGGGGGGTGCGGAGAGAGAAAGGAGATGGGAGGCAGGAAAGACGTTTACCACCACCACTACCATAAGTGCGACTGGTTCTGGAAGAGTGAGGTTCCTAAGATAGATAGCCCAGGTTTTGGTGCAGGATTCCAATGGAATAGCGGGAGGCGTTGGGCAGGTTGCGTAGCTGGATGTGGCTGGGGCAGTGGCCAAGCTGCAGTCGACATGCCTATTTATCCAATTACCTTGATTGAGAACTGCAACCAGCCAGCTTCATTTGCATGGCCTGCTTTGCGAGGCTGATGATTGATCATGAGTTCTTGTTTTGGAGGCAACACATCCTGTGGTGCTTGTATCGATTGTGCCTTGAGGGCGAAATGCGTCCGTCGCCCATGATGGTACCTATTTCTTTTCTATCTTCACCCCTAGGGTAGAGGATGGGCTTATTGTGCCTTGCCTGGAGGGATGGATAAGATACGTACTATTTAGAAGTCCAGCGTGCAAGTAAAAGTGCACAGCCCACCTAGGTAGCAAACGGCTTGCAGGCACCAAGCAGCGCAGATTGGCAGAGAGTCGAGAGGCAGGCACGCCGCAAGCCGCACAACAGGGTCGGGTCGAGGGCGACGAGATTGGAGTGCGCGAGAAACGGAGACGGGTCTGCATCTCCATGCAGTCAGACACTGGGCTCACATCGTCTGCCACGAGAGCCTGGAACCCAGATGTCCCCATGTGGGCTCTCTGCAGCGGGTGTTGTGCCCGCTAACTCGTTGGTTCAAATCAATATTCTCCCCCCCGCCGCCGAAATGCAGCGCAGGTTGGCCCCAATATCGATGGGGGGCAGGCACGAACAGGCACGCCGCACTCCAAGAATCTAAATGGCAGGTACCTGGGCAATGTACCGTTCTTAGCGCAAGACCGGAGGTATTCTTTGTTCCTCAACGCGTGTCCAACTGTCCCCCGGCAGCCACACCATTCCATCTCTCTCTTCCCAAGACATGCTGCACCGACTGCATGGCTTTCCCAAAAGGTCAATCTTCTCCGAGCTCGACAGGACAATGCCCTTGTTCTCGCGGAAGTCTGGTCCGGCCTCCATTTTGACCAGAGACATTGAATTCCATTAGGCTTCATCACAGAATACCGTTATTCTGTCTTCTGAGGTAGCTCCGGCCAATAGGAGCCTCTTACGAATGATGTGAGTACGCTTCGTCTACGAATAAGGGACCTGACCACACATTCATTTACGCAGCTGGCAAGCCATCCATGGAAACACAAGTCCACCTTAATAACATGCGGTATACAACGCAGACGGGACGAATACTTGCAAAAGAGCCAATAAATCCTTTGTCACCAAGCCAGCCACAAATGACTGCGGCTAAGCTTCCCTTCCATTAGTGTGACCCCAGGAAGCCGGGACCGAGTCCGCTACCACCAGCTCACAGATAGTAGCACCACAGGACCCGACTCGAATCTCTGACCAACGAGAAAAAAGTTGAGCGACGACCATGTCATTTCTAATTTCCCAAATTACGACCGATATCACCCCGACAGAGACGGAGAGTGGGAAAAAAAAACTCAATTCATCCCCGTCTAGTCAGGTCCCGGTCGATTCTAGGTCGGCCTATCTGCAATCGACTGCACGCAATCGCGTGCTTACCCGGCAGGCCCTACTCATGATTCCGGCATTCAAATCCGCGTGAGCTTTTCATGGGAAACCTTTGATTGAAGTATGGCAAGCTACAGTACAGTTACGTTACGGAGTACGAAGTACTACATGCTACTTTTCTGGACCCTGGATACCTGGAAGCTCAGGACTTCTCTCTACGGATACCTAGTCTGACAGTGTCACGAACAACCTTACCCCGATCAAGCAGGTCGAGATCGAGCGCTCGCGAGTCTATGCCCCCCTGGAATTCAACAAAGCTTAGCAGGATGAGGAGTGGAATGGCGATGGATGCACCGTGCCGGCAAGCCCTCATCCTTCTCGTCCTCTGCAATCACCCCGCCGCTCAAAGATCCTAGTTGGAACAACTCCACCAATCATATGTTTTGATGATCCGAATTAGCCATCTAGTGTTGTGCTTCCAAAGTCCCAATCACTCTGTGAGCGCCGCATCTCTCATGATCGTACGGAACCTCAAGGTCTTTATCATTGCGGGATTCGTGAGCTGACTTCCTGTGTAGCTTTTGACCTGACTCCTGCAAACTTGCGAACAGCTTCAGACTCCTCCGTGGTCAAACGGACGACGCAAAGGCATAGCATCGTGAATTAAGGCCCCCTTGTCGGGATGGGGCACCAGAAACTCTCTCGGTATCCTGGGCCCAGGGGTCCACGCAACGCCGTTGTCGGTCGCATCCCTACACTGCAATTACAAGCATCCACTCTGCCTTCGATAAGTTCCAAGCAACTATTGTAGCGACTTGAGGACCGTGGATCGCCCGCGTAGCAGATACATGCGACCACCGCTGTGCTTTACGTCAATCGGCGGTAAGCGCTCATTTTGCCATATTTTCCGTTGGTACGCAACGTTTCTCTGACATTTTAAGCCTTCCACGGATATATACTTCACCTATTGAACCGTCGGATTCGCGAGGCATGAGGACAAAGAGAAACAAAAAGTTGCGGCACCCAGATTGCGTTGACCAACTTGGTTCCAGTAACAGGTATCTGTCGACATCAACGTCAAGAGATTCAGGCGTATCGGAAATGCGAGAAGCAGCCCTGGTGCCTAAGACCACAACGACGACGGCCATGCTCTGGATCGAAAGTCGAAACATAACCACTCTGCTGACCAAGACAGCTAGCCCACCGCCGCAACGACGCGTTATCGGGCGCTAGCATCGCTACCCTGGGCTATTTCAGGCTGTCCAAGCTTTGGCCGTGCCTCCTCAATGGGAAGAAGCTCGTCAGAGACGGGAGGAATATTAGGTCGCCTCGAAGACGACCTTCGCCGAGAGCCTCTTCCATTTGTTCCATGGCGTCGTTGGCCGAAGTGCTTCGCGCGTGATGTCTACCTTGATGCCAGCGTTGTGGCTGTGGTATTGACTTCTTCAGATGAAGAGAATCTTGAGGCAACTGGCTGACAATAGGCGACTCTGTGACACGGGCGCTTCGCCGTCTCAGATTCTGACGCAGACACCAAGGTTGTTCGCCCTGCAACTCCTGCGGTCTTCCATGCCAAAACCCCCACAGTCCATTCTGCCGCCAGCTTTCAGTCAACCCGGAACGCAGCAGCCCATGCCGCCCGCCGTATAGCCCGCCTGTTATGAGCGAGAAGCGAAGCCATCTTGATGAACTCTCAGTCTTGAGCGAGTCAAAATATGAACTGCTCGTCGATCGACGGCTTGTTCTGGGCCCCTTTGATCATTCCGGAGCTTACCCCCTGGCTAGGTCCAATTGTTCGACACGTAGTCACGTCGGCGCCATGGCCTTCCGTCTTCAACCTTCAGGCCCCAGGACGTGCCAGAGCGACTCACCTCGAATACCTAGGTCGGATACATCAGCTACCACTGACACGCGACGGTCCGGGTCTGACTATGTCTATTCAGAGACGCCACTCTGAAAGTCGGGGTTTTGTGGCCAAGCTTTTGCTGATTGTTACGTAGAGTCTTTAGACGATGCTTCATCCATCGTCTTCCTACCCTAAGATACCCGGTCAAACCTTGCCAAGTTTAGCCATTGGCAGCCATGGCCTACTCAATCATCTGTACAGCTCTTCGCCAGGGCCCTCAGCTAATGTTGGGGTATTCGGAGAATAGATGGCCCACGGTAAACAGACTGAGCTCTGCGTCCAATGTCGAGACATGTCTCGGTATGTAGGCACAGTTAGAGGCTCCTGCACGACAGCCGAGGCGTCGCACCACGGTGGGTGAGGCCAGACGGGCCATCAAAACCAAGCCCAAATTATCGACCCTCATTGTTTCCTGACTCAACTGTATTTCCGTAGGCAATTTACAACTTTTATATTGCCTAGAACGGCAAAAGACTGGAACTTCTCCGCTGACAATGGAATGGCGCCCATCCCATCAAAACGTTCTATGATTGCCTCTGGTCTTACTGAACCCACGCGCACCTTGTAGATCTGATGGGTGTGCAGGGACACTTGGTTCATGCACTCATTCTTGCCAGACCCTCTAAGCTCAAACCAAGACGTCACGTCTGTCGACCACTTGCGTCATGGTCAACCCGAGCGACGCTGCGTCTTCTATTCGCACGACGGATCGGATCACAATGCCCCTAGGCAGTGGTGTGCAACCTCGGTTTCTGCCACAACAAGCAAGCACCCTCCTCTCACCAGCAATGAGAAATTCAGACGAAGGAATGGTCGACATGCCTTACATCGAGGGACCGACACCCGCTGAGCCGCTGGTTGCGGGAACGGCCGCCGCCTAACTGCATGAGGAGCTGACCAACCTTTTTTCTTCTGTGTGCTTCCCGCCTCCCCCCTTCGTCACGACCTTTAGCATGTGGTGTCTGCCAAAGGGTTCAAGTGGCTGAAGCTGCCGTCATTCAAGCTTTGCCCATGAAATCGGCCCACAACCTCGCTTTTGTTTCACTTAATCTCAGGCACCGGACGCCGTCGATCCCCAATGCTTCAGAACGCGGCACTTTGGATGGAGCCATGGCCTACCCTGTTAGTCAGCCGGCGGGAAAGGGGCGCTCTGGCTGTATGGCGTACCACGTCGTCAACCTTGAATTAGGCGTTGGCCAGTTATAGAGCTTTTGACTAGGAGGTGAAGGTATCGAGGGGCAGGAAGTGGTAGATGCGCAATGCTGCCAGAGGTCTCATTGGCTTTTGGGCTCGGGTCGGCGACTTTCGTGATCTAGACCACACGCTTTGGAAGAGGCTTATTTAGGCAATTGCTTTGGACGTGTCAATTAGACAAACGGTGAGATGCTTCTTCATCTTCTAGGTTTGGTGTCAATTCCTTCACATTGAAAAGTGCATTCCGGCTCTACAGAAAGGTCCGGCAGGTCTCGGATATAAGACTTGAGAATAAGGTTAGTAGTTACGGATCGGGACTATCTCACAGTATTGAATGTTCCCGCTGGACTCTGGAGCGACTCGGCAAACTCATTCTATATTACTCCGGTATACTCCCTGGTGACCCAAGGCTGACCCGCAAGAAAATACGCGAGCTTACGCTGTTGCTGCTGCTGCGGAATAGACTAAACTCAACGTGCTCGACTGTTGAGTAATTACGCCGGGTCAGGGTTCGTGAGACCTCTTGGGTTCGTCAAAAGAGGCAAAAGGCCTCGTGCCGCTATTTGAATCTTGACTAGAAAATACAGGCAGGTCAGCCAAACCTTGGGATTAAACATGAGGTCTATTCATCGGTTATTGAATGCATGCTCCAAGTCCTAACTTGCTTGAGACCACTTACATGGAAACCACACCAGTTCACAACTCATCATTGAATACTGACCGGTGCCTATCGCCAGGTCCGAGGTGGGCACCTGCAATCGGTGCCGAAAGCGATCGGGCGGGGCCGGGGATAAGCGGATGCAACGGACGCATCGGTGCTTGATTCGCCGACGGAGATTTCCTTTTGCTGTATGGATGGCGTACCTCGGTGGCCTGGCCCTCGTTATCGTCATTGATCTGACCTACCTACCTGACCCTGTGGCGCCAACGACAGATCCGGCGGCCGCGCCGAACCCGATTGACCTCTGACGGGACTTTTGCAACTTTTTACCCTCAACCACAACCTTTTCTTTCTCTCCATTTGGTTGTCATTTCTCCCCCCTTAGACTTGAGGACACAAGGTAATGGGAGCCTCTGACTTCCGCCTTCATTCCCTCCTCATACGTCCTCGTCATTACCAATTATGTTACGCCAGAGCATAGCTGGACTCTCCGCCGCGAGATCACCAGCGCAGAGATGTCTCTTCTCAACCTCCGCGGGCGCCGCGGGGCGTCATCACCTACTGCATAGATCGAGATCGATACCGACAACGGCCACAGCGACAAGGACAGCGGCGAATACGACGACATCACGACTCCTCTCCCACACCAGAACGGCGCGCATCCACACGAGCAGCGCCCGCCGCGCCCTCATCCCCCCTTCGCCAGAATCCCTCGGCGCACCAAAAAAGGCGCGCACATACAAGCGCAGCTCCAAATGGCTACGCCGCCTCGTCATCTTCTCCGCCGTCGGCGGCACGCTTTACCTCGCCGACCGACAAATCTACGCCTCGGGCTTCGCCCGCTCCCTCCGCACCTTCGGGACGGGCCTCCTCGTCGCCCTCGACTACAAGCTAAACTTCCGCCCCGAGCCGCTTACCGGCGGCACCGTGCAGGACCTGCACGTCCGCAACGCCGAGCGCCTGTTCGACCTGCTGCGGCACAACGGCGGGCTCTACCTCAAGATCGGCCAGGCCATCGCCATGCAGAGCGCCGTGCTGCCGCCCGAGTTCCAAAAGATGTTTGCGCGCATGTTTGACGACGCGCCGCAGGACGACTGGAGCGACGTCGAGGCCGTGATCCGCGAGGACTTTGGCGGGCGGAGCGTCGAGGACGTGTTTGGCGTCAGCTTCCGCGGGGAGGAGGGGAAGGGCGTCATGGAGAGGCGGGCGAGGGCGAGCGCCAGCGTCGCGCAGGTGCACTGGGCGCGGCTGCCCGACGGCCGCGAGGTGGCCGTCAAGATCCAGAAGCGGGAGATTGCCAAGCAGATCACGTGGGACCTGTGGGCGTTCAAGACGGTCGCGTGGATCTACAGCAGGTGGTTCGACCTGCCGCTGTACAGCCTCGTGCCCTTCATCACGGAGCGGCTGGAGCTCGAGACGGACTTTTTGAACGAGGCCAAGAACTCGGAGACGATGAGGGACCTGATCAACTCGGAGAAGGGCCTCCGCGGCAGGGTGTACGTTCCCAAGGTCTATCCGGAGCTCTCGACGCGGCGCGTCATGGTGACGGAGTGGATCGAGGGTACGCGGCTGTGGGACAAGCAAGGGATCAATGGGCGATGGATGGGCGGGTACGGCAAGGGGTCGCCGGGCGTCCACGGCGCGCAGCTCCAGCCGCCCGACATGGCCACCGTCCGCCGCGAGCTCCGCGACCGGCCGTACGCCGAGCAGTTCAAGCCGGAGCGGAGCGAGTGGAAGGGCCGTCGCGGGCGCGGCGGCCTGGGCTTGTCGAGCAAGGAGGTCATGACGACCATGATCGACCTCTTCTCCGCGCAGATTTTCAAATGGGGCGTCGTCCACTGCGACCCGCACCCGGGCAACATCTTCATCCGGCGCCTGCCCAACGGGCGCGCGGAGCTGGTGCTCATCGACCACGGCCTGTACGTCTACATGTCGCCCGAGTTCCGGCACCAGTACGGCGTCTTCTGGAAAGCGCTCATGACGTTCGACAACAAGACGATTGAAAAGGTGACGACGGAGTGGGGCATCAAGGCGGCGGACCTCTTCGCGAGCGCGACGCTGATGAGGCCGTACGAGGGCGGCGACGAGCGGACGCGCAACGGCATCATGAAGGAGCTCGAGGGCAAGACGCCGGCGGAGCGGCACTACGAGATGCAGCAGCGGATGAAGCAGGGGATCCGCGACATGCTGGCCGACGAGGAGAAGTGGCCCAAGGAGCTGATTTTCATCGGGCGCAACATGCGCATCGTGCAGGGGAACAACCAGTACCTCGGCAGCCCCGTCAACCGCGTCAAGATGATGGGGGAGTGGGCGAGCCGCAGCCTGTTTGAGGATCCGAACCTGCCGTGGGCCAAGAGGGCGGGCAACGCGTGGCGGCATTTGCTGTTCAAGGGCGTGTTGGCGCTGACGGATGTCGCGTTTTACTTTTTCAAGGTGAAGCAGCTGCTTGGGTTCGGGGGCGGCATGGAGGACGAGATGGAGAAGAGGATGAAGGATATCGCGCAGGATTTCGGGGTTGAGCTGCAGCATGAGGTGTTTGAGGGTTAGACGGTGAAGATGTGTGGATAGGGCGGGGGAGAAGAGGAAAGCTTTAGAGAAGTAGAGAAGGTTCATTAGATCCGGGTTTTCGGTGTTTAGGGGCTCGGTGAGAATCTTATAGAGACCTTTGATATAGGAAAGATACCACTCATCTGTTTAATGCTCAGTCCCTCGGCCGTCACTGTCACGCGTGTATATGAACGTACTCGCGGCAGTGTCCTACCTTCTAGCTCGAGTCTTCCGGTAGAACCGTGCAGAGTAGAAGGTGAGGAATGTTCCAACTAGCGAGGAACCAATCTGCCGTGCCGTTGTAATGGACCATGTCTATAGCGTTTGAATTTTCCTACCCATGGGAACAAACTTCTGCTCGAGGTATCATGGCGTTGAGGGACAGCCACGACACAATATTAGGAGTGCGTCATTTACGCGGCTAGCTTCTTCGTTCATCACTTGCCCGAACGCACGGGAGAGGATCTGGCTCATCTTTGCGGGACAAGCTCTGCTAATTAATAGCCCACACAACGCTGAGAAAGTGCCCATCAATACGGCAGGTGAGACCTACGTACCCTCTCACAATGATAGGTTTTCTTTTTTGGGGACTTTCCCTTCGCCAATGCCAGTGGATGAGTATATTGTGGATGAAGGCCGTCTCGTACTGGGAACAGAACGAAAGAGTAGTGGCTTCAAGATGTCCTGCAGCGTCTTGGCTTTAGAATACATGACATCATGAAAGCATAGGAGCAGATAATTATGCAAGTGAAAGTTCGGAAGGTGCTTCAAGCTGCCTTTGGTAACACTTTCTTCATTGATGAGACGAGCAGAAGATTATGCTCTTTCAATCCCTTTTGAGGCTCGTGTCATTTCCAAAGCGGTCTCGAAATAAAGAGTGTCACCACTAATGTCCTAATCCAATGTTCTCTCTCTAGGCAAATCACTTCTGTGGCGGACATGGTATCTTCATAACCTTACGGTATAATCTAGCACCTCACGAAAGTCGCCATAACAATCCGCCTCCCGGGCAGGCTCTATCCAAGGTGATTTCTTATTACAGTAACTACTTTCTCTCGCTCTTTTGGGCCACCGATACATTATTCTGATCTAAGTACTAGACGAGCGGCCCAGAGAAGAATGGAAGGGTGTTCTTTCCCCCTTTCTACTCGTTGTGTTCGGACCTCATGGTGTCTCTGAGTTCTTAGTAATGATAAAGGCCAAATAGTGGATTTCAGCAACTACAACCACAAGCATAATCACAAGCGCAGCAGATGAGCTCCGGAACAATGCGGTACAGAAAAGCTCGATCAAGTCAGGAGCTGGCGAAGATATAGTATTCGTTAGAGAAGAGGAAAGGCGAAAGATGCCCAAGTCACTCATATTGTGTTAAGATTTACTGTTGATTGGGACGTCGAAGGTCCAGAGGAATCGACTACGAAGATGGAGATCGCACCTACCTGGCGAGGTGTTCATCAACGTCTGTAAGGACAGCTTCCACTGACTACCACTTGCAGAATTCGCTCCGGCGAGAAGACATAAAGACTTGGCGTCCCGGTTCGTCAACACGCTGTAAAGAGCCTACGGGGGTTACGTGGCTGCAATTCCCGCGGTACGACACCAGGTGTGTGCACTGCCTGCCCTTGCCGACTCGAAGCAGCTGCTCTGATCCGTGCCACGATACAAGTAAGAAGACTTTAGAGCATTTGATTCATACTTCAACCAAGTTCAGAACTTGCCGCCTTTTGGCATCGAGTAGAAAGATCTTCAAAACTTCGTCGGCGGCAAAGGCGAGGGTCTGATACGGGCAGGCGGCGATGACGAAGTTGCGTGAGTCCTTGGATAGCCGAGATCGTGGGCTTATTACGTCGATAAGGAACTGGTACTAGGCCCCGTCCCCGGTCCCGGGTATATTGTAAGGCGTATACGTCACGCTGGCTTGCCAGACTCGAGCAGAGAGAGCTGCGGTATGCTTGATGAAGACAGACCCCGATGACTATGGCTGGACGAAGACAGACACAAATCACGATGTTCGTTCAGTCTGTCTAGGCCTCGAGGAGGGCCTCACCCAGTGCCTTGTCACACACCAAGAAAAGGGGCTACATTCCTTGGTGTTCCTATGAACAGAGTGGGCGAATGAGAATCATTTATAAGGTCCAAAAAGCCAGGGTCATACAGAGCGCAGAAGAGTTCCAGACTTATCCGTCACACTGCTAGAGGTAAACTTCCGCCTCCTCGCAACCCAAGGCGACGGCGCCTCATCAACTCACGGATTCCAGGAGCAACTCCTGAAGTAGGGAGTGTATATGCCCAGGTGATGAAAACATGCAAGATACTTGCACTGCAAGGCAAAATGAACATCAGTCCTCTCCTCACCTGGCCTGAAGTAAGCACAACTACGGACGTGGCAGTTCCAATCTCAACGTCGCCAGGCCCCCTTGCAGACTTCGTCGGGACACAAACCCGTCTAAACAACCACACTGACTAAGGCCAACAGACAATGTTCGGAAGCATTTACAACCTCACCCTTGCTGGACTGCGTAAGAGGAGAGTACATGTAATGTTTGACAAGTGCAGCAACCTAACCGAGCACCGTCGGCTCACTCGGTTGCGGTGTAAGGCTGATGCAAACAATGAACACCCACTTGCCCAGGTAACCTTGTTTCTTACCACCCTGGCTCGGTAGATGCCCATTTGTGGGATCTGTATCAGACAGTGCTGGTTTACAGTTCGTCACGAAGGCAGTCGCTGGTAAATCTGCTGACGCGCGCGAGAGAGACTGTTGTACCAGTCCAGGAATGAGCACAAAGCCCCTCGTGAGTATGGAATCGTTGAGCTTCATGTCTACGGCGCTCCACGGGTTGACTTCAAGGGTCTGAAAGCCTAAAGCCAGCAACGACGCAGGATTCACAACCTCAGAAGATATGAACTTAACCAGTGCCATGGGCCCGGAGGCTCGACTCGGTATAATGTATTGCATGGGAGCGGGAGAGGCATGAGCCAGCGGGCCGACGGGGGGCGCCACCCGAGCGAGCAGGGCGTCAGGGCGCTGGACACCTGGGGTACGGAAGCTGTTTCCGCGATATTGCGGTTCACGGGGATCTTCCCAGACCTGGTTGAATGAGATGCCAGGGCTGGGTAGGCTCACACGAAACCACCGGTTCTTTGTGAAGCCGCCCGATAAGATGAGGGGGGATATTGATATTCGCGGTGGTTTAATGTGTTGAATTGCATGAAGTCGAGTTAAGCTTAGGGCTATGAGAGGAGATCAGCAGACATTAGTGTGCCTTTTATGTAGTAGTCTTGTCTCGGTGCCTGACACTTGGAAAGGCAACCGCCTTGTCTCACACCTCAACATTCAAGTCGAAGTCATGGTGGTATGGATGGAAGGAAGTCTAGACTGAATGGTATTTGTGCTCCCTACCCGGCCAGCAGCGGTAAGGCCATGCGGAAATGAGAATGAGAGGGAAAAAAAAATCAAGCAACACAAGTTGGACCCCTGGAATGCGGTTGTGCTTTGTTCCACAAGCTAAAAGCACTGTAAAATTGGAGCGCCGATCGATCTCGGACAATTTGAGAGGAATTTTTGGGATGAGATGGCATAAAGGAGCGCGTGGTTAATGTGAAACATGGGCCATTTCGGCGTCGGAAGCCCCACAGTTCATGGGGACGGGAGCCGAGAGGAAAGAGGGGCCGTGGATGGGGAGCGAGATTGGCTGGTTATGGGGGGCTCGAGTGAGAGGTGACAAGACGGTTGAGGGTTTATTAGAGTTTTGAGGACAACCGTGAATGAGCCTAGAGCATTTTGACAGGTAAGTTGCGTGATGGTTTGCTGCTGGTGCTTGGTGTTAGTGGGTGTGTAGGGCAGGATGACGGACGGCAAGTCAGCGGCAGTTGCATGTTGCAATACCAGATCGCCGTCCACATCTGGACTTGTCAGTGAGGTAGCATGTCGACGATCTTCCGGTGAGCATTCGGGAGAGAGCGAGTCGGGTCGACCAGCGCGCAAGGCGGGCAGCGAGAGCATAGACAATTCCATCCGTGCCACGAGCCCTGCAAGCTACGGCATGCCGCGTAAAAAGGCAGAGTCAACCCACCATTCCAGTGATTGGATTGCTGCAGTACCACTTGGTACGATGGCGGGCTACACAAGCTCAATGACTTGAGTTGGCTTCGGGGAGCGATGCTGTAGGATGCCGAGCGGTGTGTGTGTGTGTGTGTATGTGTGTGTGAGCAAGCATAAGTAAACGTGAATTGCCAAGACCAAGACGCCTTTGTTTCCCTTCGAATATTCGATGACCAGTCAAAAGTTAGGGATAGTTACGCTTTATCTAAGCTCTAGGTAAAGAAGAAAAAGCGAAACCTTCGCGAAGACCACGCGTGACAGACGCGCGGGAAGCATGATGAACGGGAACCAACAAGCAAATACCGAGTTGGCTGGAGGTGATTGGCCAGGGGATGAAGTTGACGAGATGCGGGTGGGCAGGGAATTTTTGGGAGTTGCGAGTTGCGAAATGCAATCACTGAATGCAATCTTCAGGGGTTGCCTGGGCCTGAGGCACATTTCTTGGATTGTTCTTGCTGGGAAGGCAGGTTTGTGATCTTTTGTCGCGGTTGCTTCAGGGAGGGTCCCTTTCGGCGAGAGTCTGGGACGGGCTTCCTCTCGCCTTCCGTTACATCTGAAAGCGCTCGAAACTCATTCATGGGAAGGCGCTTATCCGTGTAAGCGAGTACGGTCTCCTACCACTTACCTTGAAGTACGGATACTCCAAGGAATGTACCGAGCATTTCGTCACATGATCTAGACTTACGCGGCTAAACAAAATAGTGAGATGACTTTTAGTGGTGTCTAAGACGGCAAGAAAGTTGATGACGAAAAAGCAAGCTCTTCTTCAGGCGGAGAAGATGTTCCCATGCGCCGACCTCAACGGTGCGTAACGTCATTCTCAGTATTCCGGACTCTCAGCCTTGTTTGTGTGTTAATTGAAAAGGGGAAAGAAAAAGGGGCAGAAGACGATGCGGTAATTCTTGTATCGGGGACTAGTGTTGGTTTAGTGGGACACGGTACAATGCATGAACACGGTGTAGAGACTGCGTTAATGAGATTAATACTGCTATTGGTCGATGCCCAGCAGCTCACCGCCATGCAATTCGGGAAACATGCATTGTAAGACTACGAGATTCCGCATCTGCTGACATGCGAGCTTGAAGAATCCAATCATTTCGGATCTGGCACGTTTGATGCCGACATTCTGAACTTCGTACAGAAGTCACTGGCTCAGACTAAGGTAGGTAATGTAGACGGGCCCAGAGATAAGAAGCCAACTGGCTGGGGAGTTCAAACGGTGTTTCTGTCAACGGGGGAGGGGGATCCATTTCCTCGTGGTGGGCGCGCGGGCGGGCGAGACCTTTTTGGGTGCTTGGAGCCTTGGGCAGCTCTTGGTGGCCCCAATGGCGTTATTAGCTCTCGTTAGTGGCTCTGGGGGCCCTGGGCTGGGTTAGCGAGCTGTTAGAGCCTGGCTGCGTTACACGCCATGCGGAGGTTGGAGGTGTTTTCTCGTGGAGCATGATGAGCATCGAAAGAGGAGACGACTAGACTCCTGGACGAGGGGTGAGGATTCTCAAGGAGTACATAAAGTGTGAAGGGACAAGGGGACCACTTCAGGAGAGGAGCATTGGGGCCATTGGGCTACCTATGGTGCTCCGTAAGGTAAGGTAGTTAGCCCATGAGAGCAAACCACAACACTCCCAGTCTCTCAGACGAGACAAGCGACGGGTACATCGACCTCAACCCAGTTTAGCGTGGCCCCGTCGGTACCTGCGTCGGGGGAATTTCTTGCTGCAGGGTGCGGAGCGCGGATTGGATTGGATTGCCTTCTTACCCAATCTGACCAATGAACGCCGTGAATTGCTGTTGCTTCAGTGCGCCTTCCTGACTGCGTATCGGTGCCGCCCCTCCCAGCTCTCAAATTGGATGGGACATTGCATCCATGGGCCCTGGGGGCAGGAAAGAGAGCGACCATGCCTTCCTGTGTCGTCAAGCGTCAAGAACACAGGCAGGTGCTGACCAAGGAATCCCCCATTCTGATGCGCTTCTCTCACGCGCTCCCCCGTGCTCTACCAAGGCAAGGACTAAGGAAGGCACGGCGCCCCTCGATTATCGGTACCTGCCTTTCTTACCACTCATTGGATCTGTAGGTAATAGACCTGCGTCCGCTGCTGAATTCCCCCTTCCCAAATTCCATGTCTTCATCTCTTCACACCATTCAGTAATCATCACCACCTTGCTTGCGCCATCCAGCCTGGTAAGGATAGGAACAATCTCGTGTCGGCGCAACTACAGAGTAGCAAATCTCGAATTGCATTACACTGCGCACTGCACTGACCTCATCCCGATCCCCCGCCCATCTTACCTTCACCTCCACTGGCATAATTACACATTACGGATACAATACACTCTTCCAATTGCGGTCGCGGTCCCAAGTCCGCCCATCCAATCCAATCCACGACTGCCCAGCTTCAGCTCCAGACTCGAGCTCTCAATCGTTTGCACTTGCTTGACCGTAATTATCTGCACACTTGCACTTTTTACTTGCGCTTCTTCTGCCCGCAACGCACCAGTGCCATTCCCTGTTTCTTTCCCAGTACACGACCCGCATCTGGCCCTTTCTCTGCTCGTCCCGCCTGGGTCCTTTCTCACCCTCACTTAATTACACCATCCCCTCCCCTCGTCGACATTTCGGCCAAAATCCTACCGTCGCCCGTCCAGTCCTTCCTGTCCTCGTCCTTGTCCTCAGACTTGCGCGGGTCACGGACACAAGACCCTCCACTCTCTACTTACTCCAGTACCTGACCTCCCCACGCGGCTACGCCTCTTCGTCCGATCTCACTTTACCACCGCCCGACTGGAAACTCTTCCTTCCGTTCGACCATCCGTCCGACGTTTGGCTTGCGGTCCTCCCATTCAATTTTTCCTCCGTCTGTAGGAAAGCATCTTGCGCCTGCTTTTCTTTTCGACTGCGTCTGCGTCTGCGCCTACTCCGCCTACGCCAACGCCTACGCCTCTTCACTGCTGACGCTGCCGTTCCACGAGAATAGCAACGACGCATCTACACTAGCTCCAGCCATCGGCTCGGCACTCCATTCGTAAGTGCATATAACGGCGACGATCCTGCGTCCACTTCATCACTGCCCTTCTTCCTGCCCCTATTTGCTGCAAGACCGCCCCTCCTTTTTGCACTGCACCACATGCAGACGGCAGATCTCCTGCCTCATCGTCTGCCGTTGTATCGCAGCCAACCAGACGACGAGGACCGCTGGCTGGGGACACCCACGTCTCTAGAACTCGACTTGGGGAGCCGCCTTTCGCATTGGTTCCTGTCCTGTTCCCGTTTGGTCTGACGCGACTTTGGCTTCTTCTCTCCGTCTCCAAACCCCTTCCTGACTGCCATCTCCCTGTCACATCGTGCAGGCGCTGCCCAGCACAATACCAGCTCCTCTCCGTTTCGCTGCGCTGCACCCGCTGCAAGACCCTCTGCGGTTGGCTCGAGAGGGGCTTTTGAGCGGCTGGCAATTGCGCCCGACCCAGGTTGTCGTTGCTTGGTAGCTAACCTCATTTTACCAGACACTCTTTTCCGTCATCGTCCCATTCTCCCATCATCCCCCCCTTTCCACTCTTTCCGGGAGGGTACCGATTCCCATTCTCTTACCACTTACAACGAGCACGCAAACAAGAGTTAGCCTAGGTAAGATCACAGGCCTGTCCGGAAAAATCGACTGCCAACTAGCTCCTCAACCCTCCAATTCCGACAATCTAAGCCACCGTGCTATTCGACATCCTCTCGATAAGCGGTCCACACCTCCGCTACTTCCACGCAACCTATTTACGTCCTCCATAAACCGAACAAGCGCAACGGGCAGCTAGCATTGTGGTCACATATGCTGCTTGTCCACTCCGTTTGCGGCTTCCGACTCTGAAACCTTTATTTTATGCTGAGGACCCCAGATAATGAGCCAGCCCCGTCGCTCTAGCTTCGGTATGCTTCTCAGACGTTCCAAGTCCGGCGACCTGGGGAAGGGTGGTAAGAAAGCCCAAGCCCTTCGCGAACAGCAGGAACGCGAACTCGAACGTCAGCGTCAGGCTGCAATCTCCAGAACTCCTCCCAAGCTTCCCGAGTTCTACAAGGCCAATGACCAGCTCTCCAACTCCATCCCCTCTGACCTGCGTGCTGAGGAGGCCTCAATCATGTCGGATCACACCATAGGTACCGCCTACTCGACCAGGCCCTCCATGGAACCCAGTCGCAGTATCGTGGGATCTGTGCCGCCTATGCCTCCCATTCCCGCGAATGCCTACGATCCCTATGCTCGCACCGAGAGCATGACGCACCGCGGACGCTACAGCTATGCTAGCAGCGCAATCAGCACTGTCAACAGCCCTAGAAGGGTTCGGAGAAGAAAGGATCCCACTCCCTTCAAGTGAGTCAACTCCCGAGACATTGTCATACCTGCCCTTTCTCTACAGCACACTAACTCTCTTTGTGTAGCGTTCTCGTCATTGGCACCCGAGGCGCTGGAAAGACGTCTTTCCTCGAATTCCTAAAGACTGCTCTGGCACTCCCGCCGAAGAAGCGATCCCGCAAGACCGAGGTTGAGGAGGAACCCGCTCCCAGATCTCCTCCTTCTGGCAACTTCATCCCTCACTATCTCGAGACGGAGATTGACGGCGAGCGAATTGGTCTCACACTTTGGGATTCGGAAGGCTTGGAGAAGAATGTTGTTGATCTCCAGCTTAGGGAGATGTCGGCCTTCCTTGAGAGCAAGTTTGAAGAGACCTTCACCGAGGAAATGAAGGTGATTCGATCGCCTGGTGTACAGGATACCCACATCCATGCCGTCTTCATGGTTCTCGACCCAGCTCGTCTCGACCGCAACCTGGCGTCAGTAAAGGGCGGTGTGTCGAATGGACACAATGGCAAATACGCTCCTCCGGCTCGCATTTCGGGAGGTCTTGACGAGGATCTGGATCTGCAGGTGCTTCGTACCCTCCAGGGCAAGACTACCGTCATTCCCGTCATTTCCAAGTCGGACACGATCACGACTAAGCACATGAATGTCCTCAAGAAGACCGTTTGGGAAACCGTCAAGAAGTCGGGACTGGACCCGCTTGAGGCACTTGGCCTCGACGAGGATGATGACTCGACCAGGATCGAAGAGGAAGAAGAGGCTGTAACTGACGAAGAACACGCCGATTCTCACGACGAGGACGACTTCCCTATCCAAGGACGGGAAGGTGTACCCTCCTCCCCCGGCTCCAAACGGCTTTCTGGATCCTCCATCCGTCAACATAAGGCCAAGCAGGAGGCTAAGGAAGAGGAGGTGCCATTCCTCCCGCTTTCGGTCATCAGCCCTGACCTGTACGAACCCGAGGTTCTAGGACGTCAATTCCCATGGGGTTTCGCGGACCCATACAACGAGGAGCACTGTGACTTCACCAGACTCAAGGACGCCGTCTTCAGCGAGTGGAGAGCCGAACTTCGTGAGGCCAGCAGAGAGCAGTGGTACGAGGGCTGGCGAACTTCGCGACTTAAGAATAGCCCGAATGCTCGCCGCCGATAGACCACTTGAGATTTGGTCCATGGGCATTGCAACTTGGACCGTCGATACCCTTACCTTTCTGAACCAAATAGCCCTTTCCGATGGCTGGCTTTACACCTGATTTCCGCACTTGTCGATGAGATTTGAGAGCACCGCGCAGCATACCCCCTTTTCCTCTGTCACATACCAATTCTTACGAACTTCTATGGTTGGAGGGCGCCCAAAATATGGCGAAATGACAGCATTATCAGCCCAACTTCGCATGACGAAACTCCTTGATATCCCTGTTGCTTTCTTACCTCGACGATAGCTCAGGCAAGATGACGACGTATACCAGCATTTCCGACTCGAGCAACCGGATGACACTAGCATCGCCAAGACGCCTGTCACGCACGAGAAGGATGCAAGACTTAGTTTATTGTACTTTTGGCACCGAAAATACGTTTCGCGGCTTCTTCACTGGCAGCGACCACCCTTCGCTTTACCAGAACTTTCTTTCCTTGTTCTTCTAACTTCGCTTCTTTAACGACATTCAAGATTCTGGGGACGAAAGAGTAGACTGAGTTTAGCGGCGGTTGTAATCAGTCACATTTGGTTGGAGAGCAGGTGGATAGAGAATGCCTGCGATTCGATTCAAGCGGGCAGGAGAGATACAGGTTGGAACCAACCATTATGGTGATTCTCCGGGAGAGGCCAGCCGATAGCTGTAGGGCAGTCTTGATAGGGTCCGATGTTCTATTCACGAATTTTGATTTGTCTTCTTCATGACGAGATTGCTTGACTCGCTGCATCGTAGATATTACTTACTTTGCCAAGAGGTAACAGCGAGTTTTATATCTACCTGACCCTATTTCTCTCACGTCCGCCTATGAATACTTCAGAAATAAAGTAAAACTTGGGACAGGACTAGAGACGAATGTACTGACACCTTGAAAACTGCACACATGAGACTTTGAGGGATGCAACAGATGGTTAACTGGCGTCCTAGTGAGCTCACCCACGTCTGATGAAAAAGTGAGGTTTGCATTCGAATATCCCATGTCCATCCCATGAACGCCTTCAGGCTTGCATAGTACATGCTGCCAACAAAATCAATAGCCAAGAATGTCCCCAATTCTCACCAATAACGATGATCTCGCATAACCTCACAACTGGATCCCCCTTTTCCCCTCATCCCATAAGGATACCTTGACGATGTTGAGACTTCAAGCACTCCGGATGTGATATATATAGGTAAAGTGAGAGAGAGAAAGAGGGGGGGAGGGGAGGGTCTGTGCAAGTAGCTGCTGCACCGGGCCAGGCCAGCCAGCCAGCCAGGGTTTTCTTCTTCTTCTTCGTCTACTACAACTCATCGTCTTCGTCGTCACTCTCCAGCGGCACGTACTCGGTATGCGTGGGCTCGCCCGCCGCGTCGACGTCGCCCTCCCTCCGGTCCGGGTTCTTTCCGCGGCCGATGAGGGCCAGGCGTTCCTTTTTACCGAGGGCGATACCGTCGAAGCCCGGGTAGAGATTCAAGTCGGCTCTGATTGGTGTTTTTATGATCAGCTCCCGGGCATTCATTGAGAAGCGTGGATCCGTCAAGGGACGAGAGAGAGAGGGGGATAGCGAAACGACATACTTTAACAAATCGACTTTGAGATTCCGCGCCTTGTCGCGGATAGCTTGCTGGTCTCGCGGGTGATCAAAGACGCAGTCCTCCCTCTCCTCGAAGCTGTCGCCGCCGTAGCCGCCTCCGAGATTGCCGGCAGCGGCGATCTGGCGTTTCGCGATGAGCGCCCAGAGGCAGTTGTGGTGTTCTATGAGCCGGATGAGGCGGTGGGTGTCTTTGTCGGACCAGGGGACGCGCTGCTGCGGGCCGGCGCGGGACGCTGGGCGGCGGTTCATCTCGTTGATTTCGCGGAAGGAGGCGACGGTGGTGGCTGTGCTCGAGACGCTGCTTCGGGAGGCGGAGGTGGAGGCGGGAGCTGAGGAGGCTGGGGCGCTGGTTGGGAGGGAGGAGCGGGGGCGTCGTTGGAGGGCGGTGGTTGTTGCTGTTGTTGATGATGATGAGGCGGAGGAAGAGGGCTGGCGTGGGGGTGGTGGTGCGGTTGAGGGGAGGGTTTTGCGTTTCGAGGGGGGAGGGGGCATGTCGCGGCGGTCGCGGGCGAGTTGGGCTCTCCGTTGGGGGTTCGGGTCGCGGTTGTCTTCTTCGAAGGGGTCGTCGGACTCTTGGGAATGTTGGGAGTGCGAGAGGGAGGTTTCGCGGGGGCGTTTTCTGCCGCTGTTGTTGACGGCTATGAAGTCGGAGGAGCGCGGAGCGGCGGTGCTGGGGCCGGCTTTGGCGGAGGAGGAAGAAGGTTGCCTACTGCGGATGATTGCGGTGCTGGGGAGGCCTGCGATGATGGCTGAGAGGTCGCTCGGCGCCGGGGAGGGGTTACGGCGACGATGGTCCTCTGCCTCTTCTTCGTAGTAGTCGTCGCCAATGCCGCCGTTGATGATGGGTTCGGCGGTGGCTCCGCGCTGAGAGCTGCGTTGGGATCCGCGCTGGGAGTTTGCTAGTGATGGAGACGGACGTGTGCGCGAGGGGTGCTCGCGGGAGAGCTTTGCTAGGAGTTGCACGTTTGACCGGGACAAGATGTCTTCGCGCCTGTAGCCGAGTCAGTATATGGGTTACGTATAGACAGTGTCTAGAGGAGGGCCGTACACGTCGTTGCGGACTATATCCTGTGGCGCGCTCGAGGGGAGGGAGTCCGTCGGAGAAGATTCCCTCGGCCCTTGCGGCGGGTCCTTCAAGATGACACTGAGTTCGTCGATCATCTTGCTGCACCAGGAGGAAATCTTGCCGATGAAGTCGGCCGGCTCGTCGTCGGCTTCGTTCTGTGACTGATCAGGCGACCCCTCGAGCGGGAACATCTCGTCGAGGACCTGGATGGCATCATCCACGTTCTTGTCCACGATGGCGTCGTAAATTTGTTTTGCCCTCTCTGCGAAACGCTCCGCCATGCGGCCGTTGATGCCCCTGAACGGTCCATATTGGAGAGCCTCTTCCGCATCGATAGAGGACTCTAAAGGCACGCAGAAAAGCTCCGCTGCGATGTCAGCAGGATTCTGCTGGTCGTCCTGCAAGGCCTTCAGGCTCGTAATCAGCCGCTGCGTGCGAATGTCGAGTGCAAGCTCGATGTCGTCTTCGGTAACGTGGTCGGCGTAGTCGTCGTATGGGCACAGCGGTGCGGGAAAGTCCTCGTCGAGGCGCTCGAAGATCTTCCAGACCCTATCAAAGTTGTCCTCCTTGCGAAGCTCGGCGTCGGATATGACGTTGAGTAGCGACGTGGCGTTGGCGCCGATGATGACGGCCCGCGCCTTCATCTGCTGCCTTTCGCTAATGTCCTCGATGCTGGTGAGGAGGTCGATGAAGAGCGCGTCGGTCTCCACGAAAAACTCGCGGATGCGGAACCAGTTGCCCCGGAAGACGGGCAGCAGTCGGTGCCAGGATTTGCTACCTGGTTTTGGGTTCCGGAGCAGTCTCGCTAGGGCTTCGGATTCGTGCCATAATGAGTCGAGCGCGTTCTCCTTTAGTTCTGCTTCGACGAGATCCTGGGATGCGTCATCTTCGAATTCGGATTTCTCCGACTCGTCGTCACTGCCGTCATCCTCTATTCCCGGTAGCTGTGAGCGTCCTGTTGTGTTCCCACGTCAGCAATTCATCGAGCGAAAGTGCAAGACGGATCGCACCTTGTGAAGCTCTCGGTGCTGATGAGCCCGGTGCTTCTGTGGGAGGGTTAGTGAAATGCGTCTTTGCAAGGGAGAGAGCGCAGCGTTGACAAACTTGAGAATAACGTGTATGCAGCAGTCATGTAGGCCGGGGTCGCATATCTCTGTGTGCCGGAGATGCTCTGCGATCCCATTTCTAGGGTGGTTGTTAACCTTGCACTTCAGATGGTCCACTATGAACACAGATGAGCAGGACTCACCACTGTCGTTATCTTGGGGGTTGATGTCTCGCACAATCTCCTTCGCATTGAAGCGTGCAACTGGCTCGTTTCTGTACAGATCTTCCTCTTCCCTCTTCTCCACATCTTCCTCCCTTTCTTCCCGTTCTTCCGCCATCTCTCGCAATGTGGTGCTCGTCGGGGCGACCTTATCTCTTCCCCTACCTCGCGTCGTTGGCCGAGATGTAGCAGATGCAGAAACGGTGGTGGTCTCGGTGCTTTCGACGCGTTCCGTCATGTTTGCGCCGCCTGCTCGACGTCGTGTCAACCGCACAGAACGAGGGTCCTGGACATCATTTCCCGGAGACTCCGGAGCGCCACGGCCCGTTCTTGTGCGGGCCATGCTGTATGACTCGTTATGTTGTTCCTGGAATGACTGGGATTGCTGCAAAGACGCGTATTTTGTTGGGGTTGGATAGGGATGTTGAGTTTCTTACTAACCGGATTCTCTAACCCTAACCCCGACGATGATCGGATTGGTGTATGTTGATCGAGGTGTGGGGCTTGACGCGTTCACACTGTGCTCTGGCTGCCTTAGGTGTCCATGCGCGAGCAACCGCGTCGCCTCTTTATTAGAAACAACAAGGTTTGAGCACCCCCTCTCCAACATATATATCTGTTTATTGGTTCAATTGTGGAAAGAAGAGCTGCGCCATGGTACCCTATTATCTGGTAGACTCTCAGATAGATTTTTTTTGAAAGAAGGTTCTGAAGGGCTTCTATTGCCTCACGTCATCATTCTAGGCATGATTTCAGGTAGGTACATGATGAAAGAACGGCAGGTTCATCACGAAGCGCAGGCTTTCACCGTCACCCGCCAGTCTCACTGGAGAAATTTCGAGCCTATCGTTTGCATTTGACGAAACGTTGTTGGCGTTGTCCACTTCTTCGTTTGTGGCGAAAAACAAGTTGGCTTCAGCTACGCATGCCCGTTCGGGCACTAGAAGCTATGCACCTCATGCTGCCTATGCCGACTTCTTAGCTCAGATGCCAGGTGGGCCTGTCTCACGTTGATATACTTTGATGAAGTCCATGATGTAGAACTCTTCTCCAGTGTATTGCTATAGAATCTTGTGTGATATTCATACGATTGCGAGGGTACTGATGTTGGAGCTTTGGACCGTTTGGTTGTGGTTAAAAGCTCGTGTGGCGACGAACGGCCGTATAAGTGGGTTCTGCCTCTCGACTACAGGCAAACACAGAAACACACTGAATGAGAGCACTCTTTGCGCTTCTCTCAATTGAATCTCATTACTTCCGAAGATCTACCAGGATTAAATGGGCACCAGACGGAGAAGCACTCTCTACATTTGGATGCACTATGGATTGTTCAAATAGACTCGACCGAGGACCCTCACTTGAGGCAACGGTTATTGCAGAGGCCCAACCCGTTCGGAGAGAGTCTTGTCTTCAGACCCTATCATTGCTGCTTCTTTTCCAAGTTCTTGAGAGGGACATTCTTTCCGAAGAGGCCTAGAAGGTAAGCCGTCCTGGTCAGACAGAGAAGGGCCTGGGATTGTTAGCACAGCACATGGCTAGAGATAGAAGGGCGGTCGCACCGTGACACCCACGTTGCCCCAGGCCATGGAATTCCAGCTCGCCACGTCGAGGAAGCGATCGAGGCCCATAACGTGATAGCATACGTAAATGTGACCAAGGTCGGCTATCCAAAGAGCAACGAGGTAGCCGCGCACAACCTTTAGCTCGTTGGTGAGGTTGAGCACGGCTAGCCCGACCATGGCCATGAGCAGGTAAATATTTCCGAGCTGGAGGGCCACGAGACGGGCATTATCAGATTCCGCAGTTGGCACGGCGGCCGAGATGGCGCCCTGTACGATCTGCTCGGATATGAACCAATCCGGATTAATGACGGCCCCTAGGAAACCGCCGACGCTTTTGAGAAAACGCGCATCAGCTCAGTGGCGGGTGAGAATCGGATTGTCAGGGTGGCGAGAAAGTGTGAGAACGAACGTACAGTGAGATGGGCTCGAAGACGGTGAAGACCAGTCTAGGGAAGGTTGGAAGAGCCGCAGCCGCCGCCATGGTGACAGTAGTGGCCGTTGGTACCGGTCAGCTAGTGAGAAGTGGGATGGAGGGGGATTGAAAGCGGTGCAACAACAAAGGTGGTCACCGAACCCTTGTTGATGTTCTATGGAAGGGACAGGTGTTTTCTCGAAGACGGAGGGGCGGTTGACAGGCAGGCAGGGCAGGCAGAATTTTGAGGCCAGAATGGGGGCCGAAGAAGGCGAATAAAGGTAGGGAGGGGCAACAGGCAACGCAATTGATCAGACCGAGAAGCTGTGAGACGTTCTTTCAGCTCGGTGGAGGGTTTGTGGTGTGGTGGTCACTGTAATGTGTCATGCAAGAATTCGGAGAGGCGGAGGCGGAGGCAGAGACCACGGACGGCGGTAAATCGGAGCGAGACACATGTCTTGGGTACATGAGGTAAGGTACACTGGACGGATGCCGTACGGAGTAATAGATAGTGAGCAACCCAGACCATGGAAGCCGTAACACAGGTGCTCAGGAAGATGCCTCTAAGGTTGCCGGCTTCGCACCGAGCTGGGTTGAAGCTACGCAGGCAATGGAAGCAGGTTACGCAGGTTGGCAGGACCCAATTCAGGCTCAGGGAAAGGGAGATCCATCATCCTGTGAACCTAAGGTGGGACGAGAGGTGTGCACGGTGAGCCATCTAGTCAGTGCCTTGCCCGACTTGCCAATGTCTGTCAAACTCAAGGTTAATCAGTCCATTGCCTGCTGGCAGATTTCTCTTGCTAAAGTTGGGCAGCCATCAACTCTTTTGTCCTTCCACAGTACCTTGATAGGGTAAATACATAGATGTATGGACCTGCTGTCTGCCTGGTATTGAGGCATCAAGGTATCTTCTATTACCTACAAGTCACCTTTGTGACATATGCGTGGTCATGACATGTGTATTGAAGAGAGAGGCAAAGAGACCGAGACTGACAGAGAAAGCTGCGTGCCGGCGCGGAGAAGAAGAAACGGGCTTTCGCTGGGCAGCAGCCAATGATAACCACAAAGTATTAAAGTTACTTGGCACACCGGCCGCCGCTGCAGGTTGGTATCAGCAAATACCGCAAACCCAACCGCGCTAGTCTCATTTGCCGCTTCTACGGTGGAGAATCTTCACGTGGAACTTCCATCGTTGGGCAAATCTTCTAGGAGGAGCCCTGCAGCCATGGTGCCTGTGGTGAGCCCGTCTGCCTGTCAAGCCGGGCCCTGAAATGCTGTAAGCCAATCCTTAGCTGCTTCACGCTTTACTTTACTGATAGATACCCTTACCTACCCACGCTACCTTACCTCCCGCCTTCCATTCCTAATGCTCCCCTCCGCCTTTCGGTCACCTCAGTCACTGCCCGTCTTTGCTACCTGAGCAAACTCGTTGAAGACTCGAGTCCAAGTCTTGTCTTCGTCTGCTTCTCCTCCTCCTCCTCCTCCTCCTTCTCCTCCTCACCATCCTGCCCGCACGCCGCCGACCTTACACCCATCCATCCCGCGTCCATTGTCTCTCCTTCTTTCCTTCGCCTCTCCCCTTCACTCCTCTTCTCTTCGCCTGTGTTGTTTCCTACCTCAAATTTTAAACCAAATGCCCACTCCGACTTTCCTAGCCCACGATGGCCTACATCGAGCCACGCCTCATCCACCTGCTGAACGATTCCACCACGCCACAGCTCGCTCACGCTGATCTGCCGCCCCTCCGTCTAGCCTTCTCTCGTCCCTCCGAGAGGCCCTTCCCACTCGAGCCTGAGACCACCCATCGCGAGGAAAACACCAAAGGGCCCTCGCTCGCCACCACTCACGGAGCCCCACCACAGAATCCCGGCACCCTCGACGACAGCTTCTCCGCACGAGATTCACGAAAGGATGACGAACCACCAATCGATCGGGGAGCAGTCAACAGCACCGCGCACTTACAATTGAGACTGCTCTTGGGCGACGACCGAGATAACGTAGACTCCTCCTTTTCTCTGAGCAAGATCCTCGATGAGGTGCCCGAAAACAAAGATGATTCCGCAAATAAGAAGAGGCACCGTAACGTTGCCACCAAGGATGACTTTGTGCAGCTACCACAGCCGGTCAAGAAACAAAAGCCAATTCAACCCCAAGTCATGCCGACTATGCCGCCTATCATCAATGGCTTACACGAACCTCCTCCCGATGCTGCGCTGTTCCCGCCCATTGCCTCCAACGACTTCAACGAGCCCGAAAGCAACCAGCTTAAGCCGCTTCGAGATTTCGCGCCTGTGCCCGAGGAGAAGGATATGGAAATGGAGGTTGAGAAGCCCGCTGAGGCTGACTCGACAACATCCAAGAACTCCAAATCTAGTGGTGGCAAAACAAGGAAGAAGGCGATGAAGCCGAGGCGCAAGTGGTCCGAAGCTGAGACAAACCACCTACTGCTGGGTGTCAATCGGCACGGCGTTGGAAAGTGGACCGATATCCTTGCAGACCCCGACTTCAACTTCAATGACCGAACTGCGGGCGACTTGAAGGACCGGTTTCGCACCTGCTGCCCGAACGAGTTGCGCAGGACCAACAGCGAACCGAAGATTACAACTGCTGCTGCCGCGCCGCCAACGACTCCAACCGAACCAAAGGCCAAAGCTAAAACGGGTCTGCTGTCGGAAAATATACTCATAGCCCAAGATGAGGCTGCAGCCAGCGAATCGTCCCAAATGACACAGGCTGATTTGGACGCCTTTCCTAAGATGAAGAGGAGTAGGGCGCACCGCAAGAAGCTGGAGGATTTAGCGGAGCTAGGAATACACGGTCCATTCAAGAAGTCTCACAGAAGAGAAAGACGACCTTTTACCGACCAAGACGACAAGCAAATACTCGAAGGGCTGGACAAATATGGACCAGCCTGGACCAAGATCCAGAGAGACCCACGCTTTAGTCTGTCTGGAAGACAACCGACCGACCTAAGAGACAGGGTTCGGAACAAGTACCCCAGCGTTTATGCCAAGATTGAGAAGGGACTTTTCCAGCCCCAGGACGGGCGAGGCGGCGATACCCTCGAACCAACGGTTAGCATGAGCATCTCGAATACTCTGCAGCCCAACAGGCCACCTCCCATGGAGGCAGCATTGAATAGAACCAACTCAAAGGAAGACCTCCCTAGGTGGCCTTTGTCTGTCGTTGACAATGGAGAACTGCCTGCCAGTCAGCAGGCCTTCGACTTTGGCGAAACGACTACGGCGACATTCATGGGAAGTGCGGGAGAGATGGACATCTCTCGCCTACTGCTGGACGACTCACAAGTCGCCAGCTCGACCGCGATATACGCACCCGATCAGACGTCTGAATCGACGTCACCACAACGTTCCGCTGGGTGTTGGAATCTCAATAGCCCTTCGGCAGCTTGATCTTCATCCTGCTGCGTCTTTTCAGTGGCCTAGTACACTTGCTAGGTTTCGACCTCTTGCCTTGTGTGCAGGAATTTGTGTCGAACATTAGAATCAAAAGTGCTACGTATTGTTTGCTTACGTGGCGTACATGGAGAATTGGGGTGCTTCGCTACCCGAACGGTCGTTTCTGGACATAGATCTATACCAATTGGGGTTCCGTAATCACGTTTTGGAGATACGGCGCATAAACAGGTATCTTTGGCCAAGGATGGACAAAAGGGGGTTTGGAGTGAATTAGATGGACTACGGTCGTTTCTGTGCAAGAACGAGTTAGTGTTCCGGACAGGCTATCTGGATAGAGTGTCGAGATCCGGGCACTGTGAGCTAGAAAGCACCAATCGCTAGATGATTGTATTGAATATAGTGCACACGACCGGTGCACACTATGAACCTGGAATTCTTCACGCCCCGATATGCCAATGATGGAACTTGAATAGTCTCGGACAAGAGGTGCCCATTAGGTATTGTGCTTTTGGTGGGGCCGCTGTCATCGGCCTTACCAGCAAAGCCCGTGTTGCCATGCGCCGGCCGTGGACGGATCCACCAACCGCCGAATTAACGGAGCACGAGAGCCAAGTGGATCAAGCACACGGACCATCTCGCTTAATTGAGTTGACCACTGAATGTCGCCGGATTATCGAAGCCCCGCTCCTGCTTTTGACCGCCCAGAGACACAAGTGTAGGGTTCGAAAAACCTACGCCTCACAGAAAATTTCCAGCCCGATCCCTCTGTACTCCACGTCCCGAGTCGAATCTGAGTATCTCGACTTCGACCTTCACACCCACCGACCAGATACCCCCATAGGCTAATCGGCAGTCAGACAAAATGGGCAAGGGACTGTAAGTACTTGATACCCAATCCTCATTTTCAATCTCAATATTGTCATCGACGCGATTCGGGATTCTGTTTGTCGCTCGAGCGATTTTGACTTGCCCGCCGCGACGAACTGAAGGAAAATTTCGAAGACAATATTCCAGATCATGATCGAGCCCATTCTCGACACGAACAGATATTCTGACAATGCCCTCACAGCAAGAAGCACCAGAAGCGCCTTAGCGCGCCTTCGCACTGGCTCCTGGACAAGCTGTCCGGAACCTACGCTCCCCGCCCCTCGGCCGGTCCTCACAAGCTTCGCGACTGCTTGCCGCTGATCGTCTTCCTCCGCAACCGCCTCAAGTACGCCCTCAACTTCCGCGAGACCCGCTCCATCCTCATGCAGCGCCTCATCAAGGTCGACGGCAAGGTCCGCACCGACATGACCTACCCCGCCGGCTTCATGGACGTCATCACCATCGACAAGACTGGCGAGAACTTCCGTCTCATCTACGACACCAAGGGCCGCTTCACCGTCCACCGCATCCAGGCCGAGGAGGCCGAGTACAAGCTCGGCAAGGTCAAGCGCGTTCAGCTTGGCCGCGGTGGAATCCCATTCTTGGTCACGCACGATGCGAGAACGTGAGTTTGCACACTCTGCACTGGTTCTGTCAGACATCATTCAGCCGTTGGATCAAGCTTTGGTCGATTCGTCATCACCCAAAATGCTCTCTTGTTCAATTCCTGGAATAAGACTTCCCAACCATATGAAATCCCCTTCCCTTTTGAAGTGGGAGGGAGGCGGAATTGCAACGTCAAAAAGAAGAATATTGGCCGATTACGAAGAAAAGAGATTGGAGCTATACACATCCGACGGCTGTAATGTATCACCCCGTCCGAACCCTCTTTGCTGACTCTTTATCTCTACAGCATCCGCTACCCTGACCCCCTCGTCAAGGTCAACGACACTGTCAAGATCAACCTTGCCACCGGCAAGATTGAGGACTTCATCAAGTTCGACACCGGCTCCATTGCCATGGTCACCGGCGGTCGCAACATGGGTCGTGTCGGTGTCATCACCCACCGTGAGCGCCACGACGGAGGTTTCAACATCGTCCACATCAAGGACGCCATTGACAACACCTTCGCCACCCGTGAGTCCAACGTCTTCGTCATCGGCTCCGAGAAGCCCTGGATCTCCCTGCCCAAGGGCAAGGGTGTCAAGCTCTCCATCGCCGAGGAGCGTGACCGCCGCCGCGCCAACGCCCTCGCCGGCAACTAAGCGTCTTGTCTTCCTCTTCTACGAAATGATGAAGGTTGCGCATGAGTCTGCTGCGTGTGCTGCGGCCAGGCTGCTCCGAAAGGTGACACCTCGGCTGCATTGCTACACACTTTCGTGAATGTCTCTTCTCGGGGACGGAAACGGTTATTTGGGTCGGGCAAATGGGATTGAGCATGATCAAAAAAATTACGGAGTCTAGGGCTGATTTTAGAGTTGTCGGCTTCGACTACCCTGCAGGTAGCTGCGGCCAATACCAAGCCATTGAAGGTCACTCTTCCGCCCAATCTTGAGTTCCCACATGCCTCGCTCCGTGATGTTGTCTTGTGAAAACATCGTATTCTACCTCCACCTGGGAGACTGCGACGTGATCACGTACCATTGCACTTTGACGTATCGTTGTCCGCCGCGTAACGTCTCTTGGTGTCTACTGATTCAGAACTGGCCACATAGAAGTGAAAACCGTACAGCACAGGCTTCCCAAGTCTTGACAATTAACGTAACTCGATAAACATTGTGGCTAGCGTACAGACCCATAAGTTCCACAAAGTGATTCGATGTATTCACTTTCGCAACGTCCTCATGGGAATCCATTAGAGGCTTTCCCCCCATGCAGCTTGCCCTCGGAGATAACATCTGCCAGACAAACAATCATGAACCCCTCCATAAAGCCTTCCACTAGCAGCACGTCCTTACCTCGACGCATCAGCCATAAACCACTCATCGCCCCAATATATACCTGCCCGCTAGGTAATTCTCATCTTACCATGCACCGACCTTTCCCCATGCTCAACTCCCAAGAAAAAGGGAAGCGCGGGTTATACTTCGTCAAAGCACACAGCCATCGAGAGGAAGAGACAAAGTAGAGCGAAGGACAGAAAAGGGCCGCAGTTACATCGCCAAGTTTCCCGAGGAGCCCAAAACCAGTCGACCACTAAGCCCACACGGAAAACCACGACCGCACAGTAGGTAACCGGTCTCGTGCCCTCTGCTGCATGCTTGTATGACGCAGGCTCACCCCGGCAGTCCACGTTTGGTCTACAGCCACGAGATCGTTTGGACATAGGTACTGTGCAGCATTCTTACGCGCACACAAACACACACACACACTCATTCTCCAAGGTGTGTGTGTATGTCTACCTCGAACCTGCTGTGGATGATTGCGGGGGAGGAGACGGAGCGGGAACCAATTCCCAGGCAGCAGGATGCGAGTAGGGTAGCTACCTTAGGTAATTTTGTCTACCCCAGTGGAAGTTCTCACCGTGACCACCTCAAATCGATTGGACATTGCATTACGAAAGGAGGCAATAACTCTTCGGTTTTGCTGTTGAAGGGGTACTGCATATCTCTCCCCGAGGAGGAAGAAGGGGATGGGGGGGGGGGGGGAGGCGAGATTCTCGTCCTCTTTGTTTCGATACCCCGACTTTTTGGGGCCTGATCCTGATTCCGGGGTAAAAGGGCTGTCTGAGAACTTAGGTACAACGACGGTGAGCAGAATGGCTCCATGGCGGTTTCGTCATAACTCACAATCGTGGTTGGCAAGCCCGAGAGGCGAAGCATTTCCAACGAGGCGGCTTGTGCCTGAGCCAAAGAAGTCACTACAGCTGATCCCAAATCAACCTGCTGACACGGTTTGCCAGTTTGTATTAGAAGAGAGAAGGGACGACACACTGCCTCCGTCTCTCATGATTGTTTACTGCTCAACGTCTGAGCTGACGAATAATGTAGATATTTCATGTTTTTGAGTTCTTCGTGACCTGAACTGAAGGGCAGCTGAAGCATCAGCAGTATCTCCCGGCTACCAGCTTCTCGTTGTCTAAATTGTCTTACGTTTGTGGAGGTGGAACATTTCCCCCGCCATTGTGGTCACTCAACCCCGCCGTAACACACGCACTGCCAGAACCCACCAGCAGAGTCTAGCCTTGGAGCCGACGTGCTACCAGCCTACCACGCTGGGCGGTTAACGAAACATCAGACTAACCTGCCAAGTCCCTCAAGACTCTTGGGGCAATCTTGAAAAGACATCAACACTCCGGTTTGAAGTCCAGTGGAACACGTTGAAGGTTCAAAACGAGGCATAAGCGTTGTTGGCTGAAAGCTACCATGGTTCGTTTCGTTCAACGGGAGGGACCCTGAACACGCCCAGCTAGGCTTTGGCAAGAAAGGAACACCACCAGGTAGGCGGCGAACGACATGCCTTCCGGCGACTTTGCCGCCCTATGTGAGACACAGGCAACCAGTCAGGAGTGTGCGGGGGAATACGACGCAGCTCCCCCGGGCACAGGGCGTTGTTTCTTTGCTTTGTTCTAGAATCCGCATGTTTGTACGCTACGGAGACTCCACGATATTGGACCGTCAAGCAAGCGTTCTCGTGGTTGGCGGCAGCTTCGATCAGGGTTCGGGATTTCCATGGCGCGTTGAGATTGACCAAATCCATCAGAGCAGGCAGGCATTATTAGGCGAAAGTCCAAGGCTATCATACCATCGCTAGCTGACATTGATAATAGTGCGGATTACGACTGTGAGATGGTCTCTGTGACGCTGGTTGACTCTCGGTAGAGGAATTATGAGAAGGAAAAGCCCTGCGAGAGGCTCTCCTGGCCTGGGCATTCCGACTTCCGACCCTGGCCTGAGTACCTGGAAGTCCATGCAGCATCCAGGCTACCTTGATTTAGACCGATGATCGAATCTCATCGATTCTTGGGGTCGCATGGCTAGCAGCAAGGGGGGTTGCGTTACAGGCTTGCGGCGTGGGAGGCACGCATCCACTGATGCACTGAAAATCCTTTGGGCAGGTCGACAGGAGGGCTGAGCGGGCGTTGAAAGAGCGGCGGTTTGTCATCGGAAGCCGCACACTTTGGAGATGAGAATTCCTTGTCGTGACTATTAAACATTCCGCTGTCTTGCTTTCAATAGAAGAGAACAGTATGTCTCATTGCTTTAAGAGAGTGTAATGGTTCCGCAAAGCCATAGTCTCACCGCGTGTGACGTCCGGTCTGGGGTATGCACCTCGGACGCATCGCTGACATAACTTGAATTCTGAATGATGGTGTCTCCAAATAAATAGTAGCTGAGGTGGTGGTCGGGGTCAATGTAATTGCTTACCACCTCCGCCCGTAACGAGTACTTGGGACACCATTGAGCTAATGCCAACCTGTCTTCTGGAGGTCAGATGACAGAAATGTCATCTACTGCAGATGGAACGAGAGGCTGAGCTGCTTTGCCTGACTGCTTCGTCGCATACTGTGTAGGCATCTACCTACTCAGTGCTACTGTGGGTTCTGTTATCTTGACCTCGGAAAACCTCCGTGTCGGCGCTGCCATCGGGAACGGACTTCCGGGGCACACTCAGTGGGTGGGACAGCCAGCACCCAAGGTCCTCATCTCGGAATACTTCTCTTCGTACAGTTTCCGCTGAAAGACTGCAGACCCCATGCCTGCCCTTGATCCACCAGGCGAGTGCGACCTCGCAGTGGGTTGCGTTCTGTGAGAGAATGTCCAGAAACCTGCATTCATATCCACAGGTGAGGAGGCATATTCCAGCCGGCAAGCGGCACCCTCACGAACGTCTTGTTTGGCTGGCCCCGGAAGCCAACGGCCTGCGTCCTCGGCGGTCACCGTGGGCCACCGTTACCCCTCGTGCGAGACCCACTGCGGACTCTACACCGACCAGGCCGGGGCGCGGGGGTTCGTCAGAAATCAGGGCTCTTTTGTCGCTCACAAGAGGCTGGAAATCGTGGTCATGGGAAGAGATTGAAATTTTCTCGGCCCCCTGTACCCATGCTGTTCGTTGGGGGTACGCCAGCCCGCCTGCATTTTCTGCGTCAGTGGCATCTCGAGTCTGTCAGGCTTCATCAGTATTGCCCTTCTCCGTCTCACCGTCGTACAACTCAAGGGCAGCAGGGCACGAAGTCCGTCAGCCTTCCGAACTCGACATTCGATTCGCTTGCCAGTGGTAATTTGTGGCTGCCGTTGCCGTGAACTTCAGTTACGTCGGTGAGAAGTCCAATTCAAAGAGTGGGATGCTGTTGGTAATCAGATTTCCAGTAGACCAACTGCGGAAGGTTGTTGCTGCCCCCCAACCATCGTAGCTTGAGCCACCCCACGAAACGGGGGTCACACCTGCATCACAACCCAGCATCAGTTCCTACTGATGACGTGAAAGGCTCTACCTTGGTCCATTATCGAGCTCGTGTCCATGCTCACTCAGACCTTCGTCGCTGGCCTCCTTTTTCGCATCAACTCCGATGACACTGTTTCTGTTGCCGATTAGTCCATTTTCGAGCCCTCAGTCACCCAGCGTCGCCGAGAAACGCTGAGCTACACCACGCCCGGAGAGGTCGCGAATCTGTATCGAACCTGTTCGTCTATCTTCGCCTTGTCGCTCCGCGGGGAAACATACCGTTCACCGAGAACATCGACGATTTCGGACTGTTTCAGCTTCGGCATTTTTCCCGCCTGTCCCCGGATCCAGTCCTCATTGTTGTGTCTTTACGGAGTAGTAACAACATGGCAAATCCAAGCTCGCCGCTCCACATGGAAAGCTTGCCTGGACCGGTGCTAGTCAAGCGAGGTATTGCAAAGTACCTCATCGTGGAAAAGTCCAGAGTCTTACCCCCGCTGACAACTCAGGGCTACCACCTTTGCTCACTCGCTAGCCATGCTTTCGTCTTCCTAGCCCGCCGGCTCTTGACTTCTTGACTTTTTGGGCCTGTTTTCCCCTTCTCCAGTGTCTTGATTGGTTGCAAGAACGTCGTCTCGCACCCACTCCATCTGGCTTGTCTGCACCTTGTTCCCAATGTGGGATGCGGTACGCCCAGGTACTTGACGTCTGGGTCATGCTCTCAACTTCTTCCACAAAAAATGAGCAGAGGCATCGTTGTTAAAGGCGAAGGGCCCCGTTGTCATCCACCATACCCACTTGCCCCAACACTCAGCTTCTTAGCTTGCTTCGTCGGCGATTGCGACATTACCCGTTGATTGGGATATGTGGTCGACGATTTCGCTCGCTTCCGGAATATAAACACATCGTCTTCCTCTTTTTGCTAGATTCACCGTCCCGACTTTGGTTGCCACGGACTCGTTTTCGCGCTATACTTGGACGCTTTTGGCAAAGGGCCATTCGGTAGATCTCTGTATCGTCATCATTTGACAAACTGATATCTGGTCGACTTTCACATCGTCCTATACTCCGGACATCAGGAAACCCTTTTCACAATTCACAGTGCGATTCGAAGTTACTGGCACAAAATCAGAAGTAGCGCAGGCCGATATCAACCTCGAACGCCGACGCAAGCCATCTCGCCGACGCAACCCACCACTAAACCCTGTTCATTCCAGCATCTTACCCTGGTCGACCTCTTGGCCAATAACAAGACTTTCTCTTCGAGGAATCCGATTTGTGTCCGTGTAGATGGCTCTCATCCCCTGCATGCCGGCCAAACTCTCTGCGAGGCCCCTCCTGAGCCATGGCTTGAGGGGCCGACTCGCTGGGCCCGCTCTCCATGCCGGCCGGAGCTTTTCGACCACGACCACCCGGCGAAGCAGCCCCCGGGCGGCCAGCTCCGAAGGTTCAGCCAACACCTCGCAAAGTGGTTGGCATGGTAATTCAGTATGGGCTGTTGCTTTAGCCGCCGGTGCCGTTGGCTGGGGTCTTGCTCGTTCGACAAAGGACAATTCTGCCACCGCTGGCTTTCTTCCTCTCGGTAGCGGCCTGCTTCCTATAGATGGTCTGTCTCGCCCTGTGACTTATGCAAGCATGGCCGAAATGGAGCAGGTATTCGCATCCTATCATGAGAATGACCTCCGCCTCTAACTTTGTGTGTAGGCCTTGAAGGAGATTCGAAAGGAGCTGGGTGGCGAGGATATCATCTCCACGGATCCCGACGACTTGCATGCTCATGGGTATTCTGAATGGTCCTCGACAAATCCTGATGGCCTTCCGGTTGCTGTCGCATACCCGCGATCAACAGAGCAGGTGGCGACGATTGCACGAGTATGCTTCAAGTACAACGTTCCCATCATTCCTTACTCGGGTGGTTCCAGTCTGGAAGGGAACTTCTCGGCACCATACGGAGGAATCAGCGTCGACTTTGCCTTTATGGACCAGATTCTCTCCTTCAATAAGGATGATATGGACATTGTTGTTCAGCCGAGTATCGGATGGCAAGACTTGAACGAAAAATTGGCAAAAATGGAGAGCGGTCTCTTCTTCCCTATCGACCCTGGTAAGCCAAAATCAGCGCAGGATCTTCCATAAAAACAGATATTTAGGACTGACGACAAGACAGGCCCAAGCGCAAAGATTGGCGGAATGATCGGTACAAATTGCTCAGGGACTAACGCCGTTAGATACGGAACCATGAAGGATTGGGTAATCAACCTTACCGTTGTCTTGGCAGACGGAACTGTGGTCAAGACTCGGAGACGACCAAGGAAGTCTTCCGCCGGCTACAATCTGAATGGACTGTTCGTAGGATCTGAGGGAACACTAGGCCTTGTAACTGAAGGTGAGTCGGAACAGGCAAATGACCTGGTCCAGCTTGTTACTGCTTCCTTGAGTGTTTGCTGACCGCTTCCAGCAACCCTGAAGCTCACTGTTGTGCCCGAAGACTTCTCGGTCGCTGTGGTTACATTCCCCAGTATCAGAGACGCTGCTGCAGCTGCAGCCGAAGTCATGCGCAATGGTATTCCTGTGGCTGCGATGGAAATCATGGACGAGGTCCAGATGAAGGTTGTCAACTTGGGTGGCGCAACAGCGCCTCGCGTTTGGCAGGAACTCCCGACCCTGTTCTTCAAGTTCTCCGGTACCAAAGCCGGTGTCAAGGAGAACATTGGTCTCGTTCAGAAGATCACCAAGAATCACAAGGGCGGTAACTTCGAGTTCGCAAAGGACGCGCTCGAGCAGAAGTTGCTATGGTCTGCCCGGAAAGAGTCACTGTGGTCAATGCTGGCCCTTCGTAAGGACGGTGAAGAAGTTTGTGAGTAGCTTGTCCTATGTCTTGGTCAGTATGAGCATTCTGAGACTAACAATGTGTAGGGAGTACGGATGTCGCTGTTCCCTTCAGCCGTCTGGCAGACCTCATCGAGATCAGCAAGAAGGAGATGGACGACATGGGGCTGTTTGCAAGTATTCTTGGCCACATCGGCGACGGTAACTTCCACGAAAGTATCATTTACAACCGGACGATCCCTGAAGAGCGAGAAAAGGTCGAGAGGTGCGTCCACAACATGGTCAAGCGAGCAATAGATATGGATGGAACGTGTACGGGCGAGCATTCGATCGGTTGGGGCAAGAAAGAGTCTCTGCTCCTCGAAGTCGGCTCCGACACCCTCGACGTAATGAAGTCGATCAAGCGTGCGCTCGATCCCAAATGGATCATGAACCCCGGAAAAATCATGGACATTCCCGAGGGCTCAAGGACGAACCAAGGTTCCTCGGTATAGCTATGAGGCCCGTTGACATGAGATGTCACTAAGAGCGGTTGCCATCGCCAAAGCTTTGGCGATTCTCATCAAAAAACGACTGTCTAGGGCTGCGTAAGGACGTCATGGAAGATCTACCATCACACAAGCCTTTCGGGCTGGGCTTATGTGGATTGTTCTCTGATCTGCTGCCCGGAATGTGTTACTTAGGTGCCTGAAACGACCAGAAAGGGGACCATACCAAGAACAAGATCGGAAAATTGTTAGAGAGGCATGCCGTTATTTTGCTTGATAAACACTGAATGCCAGACTGTGGTCTTCGATTCACCAGGAGCTATGCTGTCGTTGCGGCTGTGTTGCTGTTCCAGTCCATAGGAAGCAAGGACCAAAAGCTCAATCGCAACGAGATACGGATAATGATTAAAATTGAGATGAGATTTAAATCTAATATCAGAGCAAACATCCGATGACAATGATGTGCAGAGTCTAAAGTGGGCAACCGAGTAGGTGATGGAATGAGGGCGGGCAATCGAGCCATGATTGAATTTGGAGATTGCGTTGGGTTGCGGGTAGCTGCATGCAAAGTGCTTGAGCAAAGAAAATTCGAAAACTTAAGCAATTCCAATCCAGGAATGGTTGACCTGAGGAAAGAGAGACCGGAGTGAATTGCCTGGTCCTCGCTCCTTCTTCATAGGCACCTCAAGTGCCGCGGGCTCAGGGTGCCTTCCTTACCTCGACTTTACCCCCAGCCTTCTATTGTCCCCATCCTCCGCGCCCGTCTTTGCCCTTCCAATTGACCTCACCCTTCGAGCCTTCGAATTCGACTTCGATCTTCCCTTCTGACTTCATCTAAGACACTCCGCCCAGGCTATCTTGTCGAGAGCCAACCCGTTCAAGTACATACCCGCAGCTCATAGCTGTTTTACGAAATACGTCCTCAGCTTAGCGAACTACCACAGACCAAGAAAACAAACCTGCTCGTACACCATCAGGCAGGTACACTTCAATTATTTATTTTTCAATTGAAACTTGCGGGATATAACAACCAACTCTGCTAACCTCGGCTTCTAGCATACAGTCCGTGTCATGGGAGAAGCAGATGAACCTTGGCGAACATGGCCGGAATTCAGGCTGAAGGTTCGTGGCCTTCCTGAAGCCGTTGATCTATCTGAGCTATACGACTCCTTCCAACAGTATGGAAGTATCTCTTTGCTAGAGATCGGAGAGAACCGGAAAGGCCAACGCGATGGATACGCCCTGGTTCGTTTTGAGCCTCCGCCCAAAGTCAACTTCTGGTCGTCAGGATTCCATATCGTCCGGTACAAGGGAGGCAAGAGCGCCCGTGTGATTCTCCAGACTTTCCGACCGCCTCATGAGACATACTCCAATCTGATAAAGAGTCCCTCAAACCCCAATATCTGGTTCGATTCCAAGATGACACTTGAGGCGGAACGTATGGACTTTGGCACGCGCTTACATGAGAAGGAGATGATGGTTTTTAAATCCATGCATAATGGCGTGCGCATCGACATGAGTTTGACCAAGAAGAAGCTTACTCTTCACTTTGATACTTGTCCTGTGGACTCATCAGAAGACCAGAACGGTGACGACGACGACGAGATATTTCACCACAAGTGCGGAATCGAGTTCGCCCGCCTCACTAGTGTTTATCGAGTCGACCGAGATGAAGAAATACTTCTGGTCATACCGTTAGAGCTTCCACCTATGTTCTGGACGAAGGCAAGCAGGAAGATGCGAAGCAAGATGGCCGCGGGCAAGACTTCATGGGGCATTACGGACATGTGGGAAAGACGCACAGTCATATTGCACAATGATCAACTGCCGAAAGACTTTCCAATTACACTTCAGTCAGACTTCGAAGATCCTGACTTCATCAATACTGGTCGCTGGACAACTTATAGATTCGCGATCCCAAAAGCTGGAAACGGCACTCTGGGGAAATTCCTGCAGGCTTTAGAGGCCCACAACATCACGGCCATTACTGTAGAGCACTTCGCGACTAC